GATGTCTGAATTTGCGTATGCAGTCATGAATCATACAATATTAAGTAATATTTTTGTATAGCCCTGGGAGCAGCAACACATCATCTTCCCTACTTGCTGTTACCTCTGTCCTAAATCCCATCTGTCTTTTTCATGTCCAGATTCATTAGTGCAGCATAACTCCTGCAAATGGCCAGAAACATTTTCATTTGGAATCATTCACACCTGCACACAAATAACACTGTGCTCAGTAAAAACTGGCGAATGGTTCTTCTTTTGTAGCTGTTTATTTATGATGTTACATCTGATTTAAATCAAGGTTGTGCCGACTGACTTGCTATAATTTGTTATGACCAGGTGGCTACATTAGTGCTACCAGGCAATACCCACATTGCTCAAAGACGGAGAGTACGAATGGTGTTACGTTACAGGATGCAATAACAGTGGTGTAAAAGCACACTGCTGACAGACATTTTCCATATGAATAAGTCGGTTGCATGTTCTCAGTGTCTCACGGAGCTTTATGACTTGGGATTCAAGCTGGGAGGGGATTGGGTGTAACTTTAGATTTATTGTGTCTGTTCCCACTCCTCTCGACACCTGTCCCAAAAGGCAAATTAATCCCATAAGAAAAACATATCCCTCTCTCCTCTTCTGTGCACAGACATGCCACATCTGTCTCAACCATTATCCATGGCATGACATGCTTTTGGGGCACCTCAACTGGCATGGTGACATGGAGCTGTAGTTAGTGCAGCATTCATTCTCACTCACTCCTAGTCGCTTGCTTCTCTTGTGACTTCAGTCAAAACATTTTGGTCATGGTCAGAATTTTTTTTTTCAAAGAGAACAAAGTGTCAGATTTCCTTTCCAGTTGACAGCCTATCTGTGCTCGTTATGGTCTTTATGGCGGAAAGGAGAGAGCTGTAAAACCTTGACAGTGCTTCAGTTTCATTAACTTAATAACAAGTGAGTGTACAGAGAGAGAAATGTAAACCAGTATTTGACTGTGTCCCCTGTGATGGCATTATTGTGCAGTGCCCAGTGCTCAGGTGGTGGCTGCCCTGATGAGACATGACTGCTGGCTGTTCCGAGTCCAAATAAACAGCATCATCAGTGGCCAATCACAAAACCAAGCACAGGGCCCTGAAGATCAGAACCACAGGGACGGCCATGTCTGTAAAGTCTCTCTTCACGCTTACTTGCACAAATAGCACAGATGTACGGACACATTTCGCTTTAAGGGAAAATGTTGGTGCTTCTTATTCTCTGAGATATTTTTCCCTTTTACCTCAAACATGCAGACTGATAATATTTTCAAATAGGCTATGCTATCTGATGCTGCTTTGAAATACAGTTGCCAAGAGAACCACCAATGAAAGACTACATACAACAGTATCTGGGATTCCTATCTGAAGAATGTTATTTCTATTTCGGAACACAAAAAAAAAGTTCATATCAAGGTTATTTCAATCTTCTATGTTTCATTTTATAGTATGGATCAACCAGTGTTTGTGTTTAGGCCTGGCTGTTAATTGCATTACATAAACCACCATTACTAGAGAACTGGTCTGAAAAATTACATAGTAAACAACAAAAACATAAATAAAGCTACTGGTGGACACAAAGAAGGTAAATAACTGTGAATTCTATGGATTAAGCTGGTGTCAGGATAAAGGTGTACATTCAAAATAGGGCAGACACCGCACAGCTCACTCAAAACCCTGTCACGGCAGCTCCATCTAGCTCCTCACTGTGCACTCTTCACTTTGCATGTAGGTGTGGCCTGAGGGATGTTTGAATCAAGTACAACAGAGGCAAGACTAAAAAAGATATATGCGCCGTCTGTGTGTTTTTGTGTGTAGAGGTGTTCATGAGTTTGTGGGGGAGTGCTGAGTGGGACGGACGGACTGTATGTCCTATGTCTGCACCTTTTTTTAACATGATCAGTGAGGCGTGTGCTTGGCCTTGTAAACTGCAGAGCTACTTGATTACTTTGTCAGTCTCTTTAAGTGGCTTTTACTCGGTGGAGAAAATAAGGAAACACGTCTGACAGATGGTGTGCAACAGAGGGTTGGAAAAGTGGGGAGATAATTGCAGAACTCACATTCAAATGATGGGAAATTATTTTTGCCATGTTGCGAGTGAGTAGTCAAGTACAGCATCGTCAGTCACGCCAAAATCATTTCCCCCCCCTCAATGTGCTAAAAGCGTTGTATCAAACCAAACAACCAGAGCTTCAGCATCAGTCAAAAATTTTGCAGACGATTTCTTTTCACTGTACAGTGTTCACTGTTAAAACTGTGTCATCCTATCATCCCTTTAAGGAGTCCTCAGAGGCCAGAGACTATTTCTTTCTCACGCTAAATCCCAGCTCAATTGTTTCAGTAAAATACTACCAATTAAGAAAGAAGTTTAAAATATGTTACTTTTAAGTACTTTTTCGAGGATTAGGTTGAAAGGATGAGGATAATAATTGAGGATTTTAGATCATACAAGAAGATAATTTCATGAACACATTATTGAAATGTGACTGACTGAGCTTGCATAGATTCGGATGTCCTCCAAGATTTTTCAAAACTGGTTCAGCAAAAGTTAAAATTTGGTGACTGATTAATGAGACAGTGCCACCTCCTGGTAGGATCAACAATGGAGTTCTCTCCTTCAGGTTCTCAACTCTTTGCTGATTCTTGACACGCATTTAATTTGCAAAAAAACATTTTGAACACAGAGGTTCAATCACTTGTGCTGTGATCAGAGGAATTGCATGTTTAATGATTATACATAAAATGATTTCTGAATATTTTTTTAAGGATTTGAAGTTGTGCATCATTAAATGGCACTTCTGTGGGTGACACCTGTTGTTCGGCCGTTTGAAGGGCACATCTCGGTCCTGAATTCATGATGGTCAGGATTCGTCATTACATTGGATTTCAAAAGAACGGGCTGATTAGAATTCCTCACACTTCCAACTTTTGACCTTTTGCATCTGTCATTAATTCATCAGATGTGTCTCAGTGGGACTGAACCTGGTTTAAAACTCCCCAAATATCCTCCATCTCATTTAATGAGGGTTTGCAAGAGAGTTCAAATATGATTTGAGTCACAGTCACCGTGGACGTTTTAATTTAAGCTCTGCTTGTAAAGCACTGCAGTTTCTCAGAAATTCGGTTTCAGCGGACGAGATGATGGCGTTGTCGGCTCCGCAGTGAGGCAGAACTAAAGTACAGAGGCAGTGACAGGGGCAGGGCAGACTTGATAAAGTACAAGCCAGAAGTTCTTGCTCTTTCAAAACTCTTAAGTTATCTAAATGGATCTAAATAGTGAATGTTCTTTTTGTGTAGTAAAATTAACCTGAACAAATTAACTGTATGAGCATTTAATTTGAAGAGCTTAAAATTCAGATCATGAAATAGAACATGTTTTTGCTAAATTGTGTTGTGTTTATAATTCAAATGATTAGTTGATCCAATTTTTAAAGATGTTTGTGTTGCTAACCAGGGTTCTACTGAATCTAACAAAGCCAGCTCAACCCCACTCTAAAAAGAGCAAGTCAATGGCAGCACAGTACATCAATGTTTGAAATGTGTAAGAGACAGATCTATCCAAATAACAGAGTTGCAATGGTTTATATGTTTTTTAAATTACATTTTGAAGCATAACTACATTTCTAATGGTTTTATTTGTGTGTGTGGAAACAACACTCACACATTCCTTGTGAGTGGGCATGATAGGTATTTAAAAATGCTTAATTTATAGAACTTGCCAAACAATAAATCCAAGCAAATACTTTGCACCACTTTGGACCAGTTTAAAGAACTTAAAATGTTTTTATGTATATCTTTTCTTAAAACAATATCAACATGCAAAGAGCCTCTGGGCGCCCACAGCCTTCAGTAGAATAAGGTTGAGTATATTTGATTGGACAGCCAGTATTCATTGTTTTCCTCTAACTTCAGTTCAGATCAATTTTTTAACGTTGATTCTCAGGGTATGCTTTTCCTCAAAGAGCAGGAGCTTAACCCTGCTGCAGAGCAGGGTCAAGCTCTGTTTGATGGGGGAGGGTATCCCACATTTGAAGCTTTGAGTGTGAAACAGCTATAAGATCTGGGCTAACAGAGCTGTAAGCTCTAAGAAAACAGAAGCCTCAAGTCACCGTTAAATATAGAACCAAAAAAAGTGTGCTGTCATATCTCTCTGTGATGGTTGCTGAAACCCAAAAATTTGTAAAATTGTTAAAAATATCAAAATGAAAAACCAAAAAGTAAAGGTTATGCGTAATTGAATTAGTTTCTAAAAATATTTATTGAAAATGTATTGGGGAATAAGCAGTTGCGATAATGGATGGATGGATGTTTATGAAATTGACAATATTAATTACAGTAATATCAAAATGCTGAAGAAACTCTATCGTTTTTTTTATGAAGGTCAGATGAACAAAAAGTTTAGCATGAGCCAAGATTTTAGGAATAAACATTTTCAACAGTAATGTGTTGAATTCAATACTCTGGATGTGTTGAAAAAGGGATTTTTTGGGGTCGTATACAGGGTTGTAGCTATGTGGTAATAATTTGATGAGATGTGACTTGATGCATTACATTCCATATGTGGATATTTCTCACTCTCCCCATAACCTGGCTTAATTAACTTGGGTGCCAGATGGGCAACTGTCTCACCTTAACTGATATTATGACATTTGAACAATTCATTCAGTACAACAATGACATTTCATGGCATAGAAGTTGCTTTCATTTGGCCTCATGTTACCACTTTGAACCTTGATAGAGGTAAGAAAACACTCACATAGAAAATAGAGACCAACATTAAGCTATCAAAAACAGGGGTTGGACTACTTTATACAACATCAATTATCATAATTTGTCTTGTAGAAACTGAATAACTCCAGAAGATGGCGGTAATGTCACTTTTATATAGTCGAAATGGCTTAAATAACAAAAGAAGAAGAACCACCTCCTTCCCTTATTTCCACCAATAGAATACGTTCTCTGTGAAATATGAAAATGGCGGCTCTGTGTAGTGAGTTTGGGGACCTGGTCCAAATTAAAAAACAGCTAATAGCTGTCATATCACTTTTCAAAGAGAGAGGACTTCTACACAGTGCGAAGTGGTGAGACTGACGTAAATGCACCAACTGTATTTTTGTGATTTGTTATTTTGTTGAATAACTTAGAAAGCGTTAACTCTGTTACCTATGTTAGCAACGTTAGCACTACCGTTAATTATGTCTTTTTAACACAACAAATAAATAAAGCAAATAAAGTCAGCCCTTTGTTTAGACATAATGTAACGCTAAAATTGAGCCTAATATTTTTAGCAACTGTACTGTTACTTTAGCCTGAAAAAAACGGATTAGTTTGTGGTAAAGTGGTGATGTTATTACTACTCTTGATTGGCTTCTTTAAGCTGCTGTCGAGCAGCAAACACAAACTTAACATTTTTGAATGATTTCAAACTTCAGGTCTGTGATGTCTGTATTTTAGGGCTTCTGAATTGGCATTTGCATTGGATCCTCTTCCAAAGAATGAATTGCCCTCAGCAGTCCCTTTCACTGAGGTTTGTACACTGTGATGACTATCATGGATTCATTTGTATTTTAACATGATTATATATTGGCCCACTGTTCCAGTTTAGTTCAACAAAGGCTTTTTAAAGTGTTTTTGGCTCCTCATTGAAATGCATAATTTTTGTCAGTGTCTAAGATACTGACGAATATATGGAACTACCTGTCATTAACTTACTAGCAGCATACTGATATTATATTATATTATATCAGAGGAATACATTTGAAATTAATAACCTGGATTGGAATTGTTTTAGAAATTATTATCTCCCAGATAGCAATATGTGATGGAATGATTCACACAGCACTGTCTATTTGTGGATTTTTGTTTGTTTTTTTTAAATTACTTTAGTGTCCTTATTTTTTTCTCTTTTCATTACTCCAATCAAATGATTTACAATCGTAAGACGTAAGAGTTCCGATTTGATTTTGATGGCTTTTTCTTCGCCTACATACAGGAGGATGCACAAGACCTGGATGCATTCACTCTGGCCAAATCATACTTTGACCTGAAAGAGTATGACCGCGCTGCTTATTTTCTGAAAGGCTGCTGCAGTCAGAAGGCTTATTTCCTCTATATGTACTCTCGATATCTGGTAAGAGGCTCCTAATGTTAGGTTGGTCCTCACCCTTTGAGCTTTAATCTTTTCATATAATAATCTGCTGTTGCTTAACTGCTGTCGTTTCTTCATTAACCAATCATATTTCTTCTTTAGTCAGGTGAAAAAAAGAAGGATGACGAGACAGTGGACAGCCTAGGTGAGGGTTTGACTGTTTGCACCAATCAGAGTTCTGAAGAGCTTTACCTGCGTTTACCCTTGTAACACTTGTGAACCGTTGGTTTTTAGGTCCCTTGGAGAAGGGTCAGGTGCGAAATGAAGCTTTGCGTGAACTAAGGGTGGAGCTCAGTAAGAAGCATGCAGCTGGAGAATTGGACGGCTTCACCCTTTATCTGTAAACACTTTTCCTGTAAAGTGCACATTTTGCTGACAAGATGAAGAAAAATAGATTCACATTCATTTAATTTTATTTGTTTGTATGTTAAACCGCAGCTACGGAGTGGTTCTACGAAAGCTTGATCTGCTGAAGGAGGCAGTGGAGGTGTTTGTTGAGGGAATTCATGCTCTTCCTCTTCACTGGGGTGCATGGCTGGAGCTCAGTAACCTTGTCACAAATATTGAAATGGTAATGACCAGTTTGTTAATGCAGAGACACTGGAAGACAAATTTCATCATTATTATTTAGAGCCCAAAATTCAGTCCAGTAAACTAATTGAATCAAGTCTTAATTCTTTTTTTTTTTCATTTTAGAACAAATGATCAGCTTTTAAAACGTAACCCTTCTGTGCCTTGTTCTTATTCTTCCCAGCTGAAATCGTTGTCTCTGCCAGACTCCTGGATAAAAGACTTCTTCATGGCCCACATGTACACAGAGCTGCAGATGATCAAAGAGGCACTGCAGAAATACCAGAACCTCATGGAGGCTGGCTTTTCAAAGAGCACCTATATCATCTCACAGATTGCTGTGGCCTACCACAACATCAGAGGTTAATATTTTGACTGTTCAAAGAAAAACATATCAAATGAGCTTTGTGAACCTCACTGCAGTCTGTATCCACCTCTCGTAGATATTGACCAAGCTTTGGCTTTGTTCAACGAGCTCAGGGAACAGGATCCGTATCGCATTGATAACATGGACACTTTCTCCAACCTGTTATATGTCAAGGTAAGCAGTGTGAACTCACCTGATGGATGTAAAGAAAATGAGCTCTTAATCAGTAACCGTTAAGGGGTTTGAGCTGTTTGGTCAGATTCTGTCCTGAGTCAGTACTTTGTGTTTTTACAGAGTATGAAACCTGAGTTGAGCTACTTGGCCCACAACCTGGTGGAGATTGATAAGTACAGGGTGGAGACATGCTGTGTTATTGGTAAGCATTAACCTAGTGACATCTAATATTTACCTGTCAACTTTTTCAGCTGAAAGCTAAGTTAGTAACTGAGTGGTTAGATGTGACAGCCTGAATCTGAAGAGCAGTCCTCAAATGTGATGTGGTTGATGGAACACACCTAGTCAAATCATACATTTTTGTTAAGTTAATCATTACAGACATCCTAAAGGGTTTGTTTTTTATACCCAGTCAGTTTTCTATGAATACTTTTCCTGCACATTCATTTGTAAGAAGTTTGTCCTGTTCATAGGTAATTACTACAGCTTGCGCTCTCAGCATGAGAAAGCTGCTCTCTACTTCCAGCGAGCCCTCAAACTGAACCCTCGCTGTCTCGGGGCCTGGACTCTCATGGGCCACGAGTACATGGAAATGAAGAACACTTCTGCAGCCATCCAGGCCTACAGGTCAGACCACTCCCCATGTGGAGATTTAAGCCAGCCGCATTGGTATGTTTAGCGTTAACCCTGTTTTTTTTTTCCTTCAGACATGCCATTGAGGTGAACAAACGGGACTACCGTGCCTGGTATGGCCTGGGTCAAACGTATGAGATCCTCAAAATGCCTTTTTACTGTTTGTACTATTATCGAAAGGCTCACCAGCTCAGGTGTGGAATCTGACTTTTTATAAGTTATCTTAATCAGGCTACAATTTTTAAACGCCTTTTTATTGATATACAAGCCATTGGATCGTGTCTTTTTCTTCCAGGCCCAATGACTCACGTATGTTGGTTGCACTCGGAGAAAGCTACGAAAAACTCTCTCAGCAAGTAGAAGCCAAAAAGGTAAACCTCGTTCAACTGTCCTTGACTCCTAGGTCAAGTAATAGATGTTTTGAGTTTGATTTGCAAAGCATTTCTACACCCTTTCTACGCAGTGCTACTGGAGGGCATACTCTGTGGGAGATGTGGAAAAAATGGCTTTGCTCAAAATGGCAAAGTAAGTGATTGTTGCCATATTCTTTGTTGAAGCCATGAAATTAGAGTAGCTTGAAAGATCCTTGCCCTTTTTATTTTTGGCATGAATATAAATCTCAGCACTTATTTTTTTACACATTTGCATTCCTCAGACTCCATGAACAGCTGAATGAGGCTGATGATGCTGCCCAGTGTTACATGCTTTACATTCGAGACATTTTCTCTTGTGGGGTAAGTTTTTCCTAAAGTCTTGATGTGCATTCAATTGTTCATCTTATATTAGCTGGTCTGTATTATTGAACAGAATTAGTTTAATTAGGAGAAACTGGAATGATGGAAGCAAACTGCATGCATTGCATTTGTTTTGTTCAAATCCGCCTCACCCTGACAGGAAGTGCGGGACCTCTCTGAGGTGAGCACAGCCCTGCGGTACCTGGGTCAGTACTATTTTAAGAACAAGCTGTATGATGATGCGGCCATCTGTGCTCAGCGTTGCTGTGACTACAATGATGTGAGTGTTCCTGCATAACCTGAGTTTTCTGCTGTTTGCTTATGAATAGCAGTCTCATTTACTGCCATTGCTGTTGATCTGTAGGCACGGGAGGAGGGGAAGGCTCTGTTGAGGCAGATCTCTCAAGTCAGAGAGCAGATCGAGACACCGTCTGCAGATCTGTTTGCTCCACTGTCAAACAACAACACACCCGTGAGGAGGGTGTCTCCTCTGAACCTCATCTCCTTCACACCCTGACATTAAATGGGCTCAAAATGGACTATTTGTGACAATTCAGACTTTGTGCAGATTTTGCCAAAGAAGCATTGGAAAGATTTACATGAAAATAAATTTCATTTGTTTGTTAAACATGCTTTCCTTGGTCGATGCCATATGAGCTCAGTACTCAAGTTGGACTTTTCCTAACATTGTTAATGATTAAGTGTATGTAAAGAATGACTACACATTTTTGAGCAGATGTTTTTAATAAACAAGGTTTTAGTATAGCTGAATTGTTTTATGTAAAAAGTAAACGTGCACAAGACCATAGAGTCAAACGAACACTATGAATTATTTCCATGCACACAAACAGACCAAAAGTATCTTTTTACTTGAATTCTCCAACGACACCTCGTCATTGTTGTATGAGTGTAAAATAAAAGTAAAGCATACAAATTGTTCTATTCCCTAGAGAATTAAAGAATTTTTCAGGTACATTTACAATCATTTGTAGAGTACATTAAAAACGAATAAAACTGACCAATATACTTTTCAAAAAAACCTTTCTTAAATATGAGGAAAAGACTAAATGCAACTAAATCAACAAACAGGAAACGTGTCAAGAGAAACAGCAAGTAACTTAGAGTTAAGGGGACAAGAAACCAGCCAAGAAAATCAATTTGAGTTTCTCAAAAATAATCTTTTGGAGAATGGATAATAGTAGCCAACAGATTGTATCACAAAACCCAAGCAGCAGCTGCATTAGTTTGACCTGATTTGTTGCATTATAGGATAGGTTAAAAGTGAAAAACCAGATCAGCAAAAAAAAAAAAACACAAAACAAACAAATATTTAAAAAAGGCTTGAGAGAATCAGCAACACGTTTGATTCAAACGTGTTGCACATTCTAACCTTACAGTTGTAGCCACTGAGCAGCTTTAGTGACATTCAAAAAGCAGTCGCTGTTTTCTAGATTTGGCAGTATAGTGACTAAAATGCAAACCAAAAAAAGTGAGTGTTACCAGAAAAGCGTTCAAATATTTAAAAGTGTTATACAGTTAACTGGCAGGTGTTTTGTCTTTGCATATTGCTCAGTACTTCCTCCTGAGACTGTGGGCGGAGGGGACGGGGCTGGAGGGTGGAGACTGCTGGCGGGACCTCAGGATCTGTGAATAAGGGCTAAAGTTTGCTTCTTCCCCCGCGCGGGTGTTGTATTTACGCGTGGGGGTGCGTGTCGGGAACAGAGACTGGAACAGAGGGCGCTTTTGTGGAGGCCGGTTTTCAGTGTCACTTGCAGCGGTGGCCACGCAGCCCCTCTTTTTGCTGGAGCCCGGCGTGCTGGGGGCAGCGAAACCTGTCGGGGGCAGCTGGGAATGACCGGCCTGAGTCTGGGCCAGGGTCTCCGCTTTGCGCCGCAAGTCTGCTTTAACCAGCATCAAGCCATTCTGGAGCTCCATCAGGATCTGATTCTGAGAAGAAGTCAGTTGACAGGGTTAGAAAGGACCACAGAGGGGGAGGATGAGGCGTAGGGGGGGGTTGAGGGACCCAGACAGTGGAGCAAAAATGCAACATGCTGTAGCAGAGTGATCCCGTTGCACAGAGGTTAGAAACCTAAATCTAGTTGTAAAGCTGGCTGTGCATTTAGAATGTTTCAGAGAGCAGAGGGAGAGAAAACAGGGGTATTTTTAGATGAGAATCATACACATAACAAATGAGTTTCAACTATTTTAACGAAATAATTCAATCACCACATTTGAAATGAAACTTTAATCTGTTCATTATTGACTTCCTGAACACAAACGTAAGAGTTTGCGTCTTTATACGGCGGGCACGTGCGTACCTGTTTTGCTAGCTTCTCATCGGCAGCGGTCAACGTGTGGCGCAGCCTCTCGCCCCCCGTGTTGCGGCAGCAGGCCCTCTCGCCGGACTGCAGGTCCAGTCCCAGCCGCTGCAGGTCCAGCCGCAGCTGCCGCAGGTTCTGTGGCACAAAAGCATCACATCAGTCTCTCTCCGGCGCCGTGGAGCATCGCGTTCGCGCGGTGCCAGAGCTGCTACTGACCCGCTGGCCCTCCAGCAGCTTGCGGTCGGCGGCGGCGGTCAGGGCGCCGGTGGAACCCGGCACCTCCAGCTGCGTCTTCAGTTGTGTCAGCTCTGCACGGGGAAAAGGAAAGCAGCCGCTCAGCACACAAACACAACACAAACATTTGGAGGCAATCTTGCCGTCAGACCCCACCTTTGGTTTTGGAGTAGAGGTCAGCTCGACACTGGTCCAGCTCGGCCTGCAGCCTGCTGGGCTCAGGTTGAGCCGAGAGGCGCTGGGAGCGGCGGGGGCCCTCGGAAGCTCCTGCCGGTGCCGTCGTGGAGGGGGCCTCGTCCTTATTTTTTCCTTCCAGGAGAGCCGCCAAGGCTTCAATCTCCTGATCACGCTCCTGCACAGTTACAACAAATAAACTTCATGCTTATGAGGCCGAAAACACTTTCAACTACAATTGAAATTTCTCTTGAGATATTATGGAACCTTTACTTATCACATAGTCTGACCTTCAGCTCTTGAGTATAGAACTTCTTCAGATGCTTCTGCAGGTTAATTATCTTGTCCTCGTATCTCTCTTCAATTAGGGCCCTCTCAGCTTCCAGAGTCTCACTAGGGCAAAGAAGACGTCGACATTTAGCTAGCAACCACGACCAGTCATGTATGGTTCTCATTAGGGCTTGAAAGCAGGCATTCTTAGATAAATTAAACACACATACTTGAAGCCTTCTTGCATTCCAGAAATGACCTCCATCATCTCAGAGACCACCTGCTCTCTCACGTTAGCCTCAAGAACCTCTTTCTCCTCCCGCTGACGCCGCACTTCTCTTTTCAGAACATCAATGGCCTGCAGCAGAGCCTTAACAAACAGCAGATAGCCGATGTCACATCTGAAGCCAGCCTTTCATACTTAAATCATTTTAGATCACCATAACAGATGTGATTTAGGTGTAAGTTAGACGTGCATCATCTCCAATAAAACAAGAGGATTACCTCAGTATTTAACAAGGTGATATCTCCGTCTTCGACATCACTTTCATCATCTTCCTCCTCCATGATTGTGCTTTCATTTCCATTTGTTGGTGGCTGATGAAGTAGAGACAGGATGTAGGCCACTCTGGTCTTTGTGGATGGGCCATGGACAAGCTGCAAGGATGTGTTTCACAGCTTATTTCTCATTTCATCACATGCAAAAACAAATCTAGTCCCTCTACACTTGTTACTTCTGTGTAAAGGTGACTCCTCACCTGTGTGGCAATTGCCGAGAATTTGAGGGCCTGGAGAGTCTCATCATAGATGGAGGAGCATGGATTGATGTTAACAACCATGCACGAGGTTCCCCGCCCACAGAAGAAACCCTGAAGGACGCGGGTCAGTTTACTGTCCCTGAAAGGCACCACTTGAGGAGGCCGAGACCTGAAGAAGAATGGGGGGAAAAAAAGCAATTAAACACAGCACTGCATACAGCAACAGCTCAGTGCTCATATTTTGAACATTTCCCTCCTACTTGTTGTTCTGGTTGTGCCTCAGGGCAGTGATGCAGCGGCCTAGTGTTAAGAGGGAGGTGTTGATGTTGCTGGCCTCCTTCATCCTCTCACCGTTCCGCTGCTCTTTACAGCGCTCAGATCCCGCCAAGTCACACACCGTCAGCCTGCAGGGGAAGAGCGTGCTTAACTTTCACAAACCCGACAAGAGACCACCAAAAATTAACTGGAAGCAGCATGAGCTGAACTCACTCGCTGATATGCATGGGCTGATCTGGGGTGGCTTCTGGGCGGACGTGCAGGACCCGGATAGAGAATATGCTGTGGCTATAAATACAAAAAAAGTACAAGAGAAAAAATAAGAAAAAGAAAGAAAAAGATGTGAAATGTTTTTTGTTTGTTTTTAATGGAAGCTGCAATGTGCTCCTACCTTCTGCTGGAGTTGTGGTTGAGATGAGTGCTGGCAAAGCTCTGATTACGCCGGCCGGCCTTCAGAATCCTCCAGGCTTCCTCAGCACTCCGGACCTGAATCCACGCGAGATCTGGAAAAACAAAGGAGAAGTGGCAAATGTGATTCCTCAAGATGCAGCTGCAATTGCATCTACGGTGCTGAACATATGCTGTTTAATGAAACATTGCGTAATTAAGGTGAAGTCAGTGTTACCTTTTACATAAGGGTTCCCCTGTTTGTCGTCACATAAACGCAGAGTGACTCTCTTTTTGGACTGCAGGGAGGGGGAAGCTTCCAGCAGGTCGTACAGGAACTCGTTGTAGATCTCATAGAAGGACACCCAGATGGAAAACTGAACCCCTTTCTCCAGGTCGTCCCCTCCACTGACAGAGAGGCTATCCGGGTCCAGGCACACGCTGTCAGTGTCTGCAGAAAATCGGGAAACCCCAGTATTGGTAAGATGAAAGTAAACAAAGCAGGGCTCAAAGTGAACCTACTACAGTCAGTTTTATTTCTCTGACACTCAAACACACACCAGTCATCGTATAGTAACTAATGCGTTTATCCAACATCATACTGAATAAGTATCTACAACAGTTTTCTAAGAGATTAACCTGGGGTTCTTCAGGCTCTGCGGCCTTTTTCCTTACCTTCAAACTGGGTGGCAGTTGTAGAAGAGAGCCCTCCAACGCCACTGTCCCAGATTGTAGTGGTACCAACTCGGCGAGAAGTCTGGCTCTCATCCTGGAAGCATATACAATAAAGGAGGTGCATATATATATATATATATATATGCACTGACACTTAATTTGTTTACATTTTATAAACAAAAGAGCGACATCTCTCTCTCTTTACCTCTTTGAGGAGAGAGTTTCTTCGGATTTCTTCCACTTTGATCTCACTGGCCTCAAGCTGCCTCACGTCCTGATACATAACAGGCTTCAGGTCCATAGCACTGTAGAGGCGACCCTGCAGCTTCCTAAAAAGGGAAACTAAGGCCCGGGGGAGGAGGCCTGCCTCTCGACCACTGCCTGGAGGTCAAAGGTTGATATTTCAGGTTTATATATGGGATCAGCATGAGCTAAAAACAAGAACAACAACTAAACAAGATGGAACGAGGACACACATAGGGAAAAAAATGCTAAAAAATTACCTTGAATGGTGTAGGTCTTTCCAGAGTTGGTGACTCCATAAGTATAGAGAAGTCGGTTTTCTCCCTTAAGTACGTCGTTTACCATTCTCTTCATTGTGCCTTCATAAAAATTTTGCTGTGTTGTCTCTGGACCAAAAATCTGTGAAAGGTGATTTATGGATGAAAAAAAGCTACACCAAGCATAGCAGGTTGTTAAATAAACCTTTAAGAACAGTAGCTAAACCCATCACTCTCCTACCTTTGAGAAACTGAACTTATGAATGCTCTGCGTGATGCCCCTCTCTGCGGTCCTCATGTTCTGCGACTCCCTCGGTGCTTTTAGCAGCAGAGTCTCCTCATCTTGGACAGCAACGCAACCCTATAGGCAACATTAATATCAAGTTTTGAGAGCAGGTACCCTAACAGTGGTAAATGTGCACTTTTGTTCATAGTAATAAAAGACACCTTCCGGAAAAACGGCCTCACCTGCTCTTCCTCTTGGCTCTCTGTGTCAGTCAGAGGCCGAATGCGCAGAAAAACCTTCACCTTCTCTGTGGCCCCCTCATCGCAGCTTCCTCGTTTCACTGCTGCTTTCTAAAGACGTAACGTAAAAACATTTACTAATTTAAGGTGTACCTAATTAAAAATTTTAATAGTAGAAATTATTTTAAATCTGGCTCTTTAACAACATTTACATCTTACAGAAAGATTTGAGGTTAAACACTTCATGGTTCACATAGCAAGACAACAAGCATGCATTTCTATCAGCTCTCACTGTTTTGTTAATGGATGGTTGTCTCTCCAGGCCAGGAGAAATAACAGAGATCTCAGTTAGACGCGGTCTTGCCATGCCCCCATGCTCTGCTGCTGTAGACTCAAACACAGCCATTTCCTCCTCTTCATCAGAGGGGAATCCACATGGAGAAGACAATGACAGGGCCATGCTTTCCTGTAAAGAAGCCAAAAGCTCATGAATACAAATAAAGGTATTTCAAAGCTGTTTAGGAATGTTGCTTTGCATGTAGGCTTAGAGCAAAGGCAGCATAACATTGAAAAATGTAGTTAAAATCCTTTAGAAAACTGTTCATCTTGAGAAATCCATCTAATCTTTGTGATCGGCCAGTTAAGAAAATAAATCTGTTGATTGTGTTTGCAAAGTTAGAACCAAAAAGCAGTGTGTCATACAGACAGATAAACTAGTTTGCCTTGCAAACCCAAATGATCCAAGTCAAACAGGAAACAAGTTTCCAAGCTGTTGCTTGTCCTGACAAGAACGTTTGGATGGGAGTGCACAATTTCAAACTTATGAGCAGCTAATGATCAACATTACACCCACCCACTCCAGTACTTTCTTTGTTGATTATTCTGCACAACCACAATTACAAAACTAGAATAAACAACAGTGTTTTACTGGTTCCCCTCATTTCTAAACACTCAGGTTAAGGTAAAAATCATCATTCTAAATACATTTAATGAAATCCACAAAACATTGTTCCTTTTGTGCATGCATGCATCCTCAGACTCTTTGTCACTCAGCTAAACTGACAATTTGACGTGATATTTAAAAAAGAAAAGTAATGATTCTCCTTCGTATTAATTCATCTCAGCTTGTGTTGACTATTCCAGCCCGATATGAATGTCTGCATATCATGCACGCTGATCGCAGAATGTGCAGATATATTTTAAAGTGTGCCATAATACGAAATGGTGTAAATATTGTTGAGGTTGTGTAGTATGATAATATATTTTCGATGATCTCGGAGTGGCTAACTAATTAAGTTCACTATGAGAAACCACCGAGTGACCCAAGTCAAGTTTTACTAGAAAGTAGGACGAGGGGCTCAATTCCAGTACATTTTTCGTCTAAATGTTTTTGGTAGTTCGCAAAAACCTAATTGGATTCACATAAACTAAAACAACAACATTAAACACCCAGCATGCCCACTTACCTGTCTGTACGTGTAGATTTCAAAGCTATCTGGGCTCCAGCTGAGTTATTTCAGCGGACTGCGTTTGGTTTTTTGAACAATGCGCTTCCCCTGCTGATCTAGTCGTTGATTGGCTAAAATCCATGGCTCACCCGTCTCCGATTGGCTATTACGATCTGACGCTGTGCAGCACGCAAACTTTACCGCCTCGAACAAAGACTGATTTAACTTGTTCCTGAACAAGCACGTTTTAGATATATGTTTTTCTCTAAAGGTTAGTGAATATTTAAAGAATACAGGAACAGGTAAAGAAAGGGGGCAAAAAAGAAAGAAAAGCACAAACTTGTTTATTACAACAGTTAAATTTTATTTTACAAAGGTAAGTACAATGTTAAGATATGAAACATAAAAAAATGTAATCCTAGCTCCCAAAAACAAAACATTAGATTTATTTGGCAACATTATGACTGTAAATAAAAACACAAGAAAAGAAATGTATGTTTTCCCAATTGTTCAATGTTTATTACTATAGAGTTAATTATTATACACGTGTAGTCATTTACAGCACATATTTTCACGATTTAAGAAAAGTTTCTTTTGGCTCTACACATTGCACGTATGTAAGAACATAAAATAAAATTTAAAAAAAGAATGAGTACAGATGCCACAGAAAAATGTTAGCTTTGTCTATATAAAGAAGTACAAAGATACAGAAAATTCATCCAATAATATCTCCAGATTCAATGTTTTGCCCCATAGTGGTGATGCTGTGAAAAGTGACTCGGTTCTGTGAATTTTCCAGCCTTTGTTTTTGCACACTGTGGTGAATGCCATAACAAAAGTAGATGAGTAAACCTGTAAAAAAAATCAAAATCAAATGTCACACTTGAAGTTACTTAATTTCACATATGAATGACAAATGTAACTAAAATTAGCTGTATTTTTATGGTTTTCTTTTCATACCTACTGCCATCCACACTGCATAACGGATCCAAGTGTCTGATCCAAGCTGAACCATAAGATAAACATTGACAAAGGTGCTAAAAATAGGAAGCAGTGGTACAAAAGGAACCTGTTGGCATAAAATAAAAATATCATTATCAGAAAGCAAAATAAAACTTTTTTTTCTTTTCTTTTCTTTTTTGGGAAAAATGACGAGCTTTTTATATAAACCAGCACACCTATATCCCCCTTAAATGTACATTATTTGAGATGTTAAATACCATGAAAGCAGCTTTAGTTGTACTCTGAGGTTGTCTCCAGATGATCAGGACAATAAGGACCAGCATCAGCACAATCACAGAGACACATAATAAACTCCACCACTGAAGAGCCAGCAGGGAGTCTAGAGTCTGTGATATGAAGACGCTTAGGAAGATAGCTATAAAGACTGGGGAAAAGCAAACACTAACAATGAACATCTTGTGTATCTATGACATAATTAGAGGATAATTTTAACTAAACAACTTACCAATAATGACAGTTGAAACAGACACATTTTTTGATGTCCGTGTAGTGGCCACAGAAGGAGGGCACAATAATCCCCCAATTGTGAAGGGTTCTGCTTTGCCTAAACAGGAATCTTCATTAAGGTCATTTTGATACCTGTAAAGATAAGGTAATTTAAACTAATATGTGCATAGGGTTAAATACAAGATTCACAAGTTAATATTTTTCTTGTTTGCAAATATTCTTATATTAATATATATTTCCGAATTAGAGTGAGTGATAAAGTGACATGAAGAGTTGTTTAAACACACCTTAAAATGAGAATACATATTGCAACAAGTGTGTATGCAAAGAGGGTTCCTATTGACATCATGTCGACTAGTGCCTTCAGGTCAAATACCAATGCCATGATTGCTGCAAAGACATAATTTACATAGACTTGCATAACTTAATACACATTTCAGGCAATTCCACGTCTGTAAATGCATTAATTTTTAATAGAGTGCTTGTTGGCACCTTCAGATCTATTAAGAGATTAAACTGGCACTTTTACCTGCGACAATCCCTGAAGACAATGTGGCTATAACAGGGCTTTGTCTGTCACTCATTTTACTGAGTGGTCTGAAAAGTAGTCCGTCCCTTGCCATGGCGAAAAGAACACGGGGCATCGGAAACATTGATCCAAGTAGGCTGAAGGAAGAAACTTGAATAATTACTATATAGCCATTTAGTCATTTGATTGTTATTCTTATCTTATTTGCACCAGGGATTTCCCATGGCCGTCATTACCAATGTATAACATGTTGGCAAAAGACAATGACATGCTCAGCTAATCATCTAAAACAACTAATCAACTGTTTCAGAAAGGGTCATTGACTTTATCTGGATTGTAAGAATCCCACCAGGTTTATAAATGGATCCCCATGTTTTATACCTTGTTGACAGTGCACAGAGGGATCCAACGGCCACTGCGTACTTTGCAGGGCCCCAGCCAATGTAAGAGAATGCCACAGGCAGTGGGCTATGGATGCTGAGCAAAAAATATGGCATCATAAGAGTCAAGGTAGCAGACACACCAAAATAAGCCAGGAAGCAGATGAGGAGGGATGCCACTATTCCAAGTGGGATCGACTTCTGAGGATTCTGAACCTCCTCTCCTAAAGATAAAACCATGTTATAGGATATATCATCTGACTTCTACAGAACTGTTAACAAACAGTGCTCTAGCATAACCAACATGTCATTGTTACATAGGAACAAATAGTTTTTCTTTTTTGGACAGCTCATCAACAGTTATGGTTTTTCCAACATTAAGTTTTCTTCCTGATCCTTAATGTATTTACCTGTTGTGGCAATGCAATCAAATCCAACAAACGCATAAAAACAAGTGGCTGCTCCTGCTATGGTTCCCTCCAAGCCAAAAGGAAAAAATCCTCCACTTCCATATCTGCTGGTTTCATTCAGGAAAGTATAGTTTCTAAAAAGATAACAAATATGTTGCCACATGGTTATTAAGGAAGCTTAAAAATACAGTAGCAACTTAAAAACAACAAAAATGGGTCTATACTCATACCCGGCGAGGAGGGTTTCTTCATTCGTGTACCAGTTGCTGATGTCCCCCTTTATGAAGCCAGTGAGGATGACAAACAGCAAAACTAAAATATTAACGGCTGTAAAAACCTTATTTACGATGGCTGACTCTTTGACACCAAATGCAAGAATTCCTGGAAAGAAATTAAAAAGGGTAAAGGTAAGTAAAAAATTTAATCAGTCAAAACATTTTTTCACAACGTTAGTAATATGAATTAGCATGTGTTTTAAAAATATAGAAACCTGCCTGCCAAAAGCATTATAAGACCAGCAGCAAAGAAGTCAGGGTAGGGGGCTAAACCAGGTAAATTCATTGCAGCCTGTTTTCCCAAAGAATTGGCAATGGTATTTCCAATTAGGTCATCAAAGGTCCCACTCCATGCCCTGGCTACACTTGATGTCCCTTAAACACAATGGTATGAACAATGTGGACAAATTATTAAAGTCAGGGTCACAAATGAAAACAGCACGAAAGTAGGTAGTGACATTATTTCTCAATTGACGTCTCAACAATTCCACAATGAGATTTTTTACCTATGACATAAGAGAGTAGCAGGTTCCAGCCGGTAATAAAAGCCCATATCTCTCCCACAGTCACATAGCTATAGAGATAGGCAGAGCCTGTTTTTGGAACACGAGCTCCGAATTCAGCGTAACACAGTCCTGCAAAGACGGAGGCCACGGCTGCTATCAAGAAGGAGATAATAATACTTGGACCTGCCACGGTCCGGGCCACTTCTCCTGACAGCACATAAACACCAGCCCCCAGTGTGCTGCCAACCCCGAGGGCCACCAAGTCCAGGGTAGTCAGGCAGCGGCGAAAGTTGGACACTTCTCCTTCAGGCTCCAGAGGTTTTCTCCGTGACAGGCTCTGCAAGAACAGCAGCACCTTTGCACCTGACATCTATTGAGACAGAAATGTAGAGTTTGATAAAAGAAAAACAAACTCAGTTTACCTTTTACATATCCATTCAAAAACAGCTTACACATGACCCTCTCGAAAAAAATAACGTGAACTTTATCATTCAATTTTTTTTCAGGGTTTTTCTTCCATTTGACTCGAAACTGGAAAAACATGTTACAATTTTGCAGTTTCTACTAATTTGCTGCAAAGTGTTTTTGACCACAGATCACGTAATATTTTTGTCTTTCAAATTGCTACAAGTAGACACATGTTTTTCTGCAGCTTTCAATAGTAAGTTTTCCACAATCGTGTGAAGCACTGTAAAACGAGTTAATGAGGTTGATTGTTAATCTGTGTAAAGCAAAGAAAGAACATGAAAATATGTCCATAAGAAAATGATTGAATATGAATATGACAGAAAACAAACCAGAGAGAAACCCAATACAAGTGCAGTGTGTTACAGTTCAATGTACTGTATCTTTGTTATGATCCAGAATTAGTACATTTAGCAACTGTGTATTATTTGTATACAGAATAGTACTTCCTACACTAACTATATTATACCCATACCGTACCATACAATACCATACCATACCATGCCAAACCAAACTATAAATTCACTTATTATCTTAAGGAAATATCCTTACCTTTCCAGTTGAATACTGCACGGTGTGTGGCTATGTTTTGATCTGTTCCTGTGCACACCATGTGTGAGAATAAATCCATTCACTGTGAACTTTTCACAGCCCAACATTTTTTACACATTATGTTACATTTCAGACTTACGTGCCATTTCTGAAAAAGAGAAGATCTGAATGATTTATCTCAGGACACTACTTTCATGGCAAGCAATGAAATAAATTTTATGCAGCAGTTTAAAAACTGCTGTTTCTATGTTTAGATTACAAAGATGACCGGTTTATTTCAGTTTGTGTGTAACCTTTATTCATTTTCCAGTGTTTTGTCAGTTTTTGTAAGTTTTTGAGTATCTCTGACATTTGACTAGAATACAGCAAAAAAACATGTTCTCATTTAAAAACGGAAATTATATCACTTAAACATGAAGAAAGTAAGTTGTGTATTAATATCCTCTTAGAATGAATAGTCTACATATGAAATGTTATTAATATCCAGACATTTATATATAGAAAATAGTTTTGTTTAGTCACGAGTTACCATGGTTTGATTTAAAGTATATACTTACCATGACCTCATACACTTAATGAAATCACTCGCATGTTAAACTTATGTGTGTTGCTCAAAATATTTAACACATTTTTCAATACATTCTTTTATTTAACTTTGATTCAAATTTCAAGCATGAATCCTTGACCAATTTGCAAAAAGATTAAAAGACAAATTCAGTGCTAATTGTGAAGATGGTCCTGAAATGGTGTCCTGACTAAACAACATGCTGGAATCTACACTTTTAAAAAGCTAACCTTCCTCCAGCTGAACAATGAAATTGCTTTAAAAAATGTTGGACTTGTTTTGTTATTTGGAACCATTTTAAGGTTTTTCCTTGTGACTCATGTCCCGCTGACAGAGAGTTGGGTTGCCACGCTTTTTAAGTCAACGTACTGCAAACTGGAATTCTTTTTTGTGGAAATGTTTGCTAAGCAACAAATTGAAGACAGGTTCACCGGAGCATAAGGAGTTAGGTTTTTGTTTAAAGAACATAATGCTGCAATCCATTGCTTCCAGGGGTTCCTGGTATTGCGCTAGACTTCTCTGAAAACCTGCCTATAAAACTAAACACTGAAAGTTGAGCTGGTCAAAACTGGTAAACAAAACCACTATTTCAAATATTTGTGGGTTGCAATGTTGCAGACAGATTGCTATAGATAATATGTTAAAGAAATTAATGTATTTTACTAGTTATGTTCTCTGTAAAAAGCCATCACCTTTCAGAGGTGGTTAAATGTTTTTCTGGCTTTGATCAGAAAACCTACAGATGCTTGTCTTTAATACAGATGTGCTATCTGGAAAAATGCTTGGAGAAGATTTGAGAGTTAATCAAAACACATAACTGGACATAAAGACGAAGGAGGATTGTAGACAATTGGAACTTTTTAAATCAGTTTTTCCTTTTAAACTTTTTTCCATTCAACATGGCAGGTTTATATTTATAATGTTTTAGATGTGTGTACTGTGCAGAAATGGTACACAATTAGTTGTCAGATGAATTTTTCTCAACTCTTTTTTATCCGGATTATTTTAGTCCCGGAGGAGTGGACTCTAAGAGGACTTCATTAGCTGAAGGAAATGGACAATCCCCCTCTCTGTTAATGATTCATTTACCGAGAGAGGTTCAGAAGGTAGCAGCACCGTCCTTTGAATTCACTCAGAACCAAAGGATATTTTGGAAATAGTTCTTAAAATCACAAAAAAAACCTTATGACTAACCTCAGGCGGTAAGTTTGATTCTGTTTATATTCCTTGCTTAATGTGTTTAATGAAGCCAAATCAAATGAGCGAAATAACCGAAAATAAGATTAACTCCCCAAGTGTTTTTCAGCTATTTATGCCTCTCATTTTGCCTTAAATACCTCTCATTGAAATACCTTTGTATTAGCATTTTTAATTTTTAAATGTATATCTTAAGAGAAGACAAGATATGCAGAATAGTACCTGTGGAAAATAAAAATGTTAATTGTTTTAATCGTGTCAGATGAGTGCATGAAAATAAATGGAAGGTTGGATTGTAATAATGGGTATATATTCTTTTGACAAAAGCTTTTCCACCTTCTTATTTCAACCAAAAATGGTGCATAGGGATGGCAGTTACTTCATTATCCCAGCTCTGCCCCAGCATTTTTCCAGCAGTATTAAACAGATGCAGAGGGGCTGTGGCTTTTCTCCATGGTGACTTCAGCTCACTGGCCACAGCATAAAATTGGGACTCGGCAGAATAGGAGGATCGTTAGAGTGTGACTGTGCTCTCAGCTTATGTAAATCCTGCATCTATTTCGGTTCTGAGATTTTTCGAGCAGCAAGCTGACCGTGGCAGTCAGGTGTTAAATCTTAAAACATCTCTCTTCTTAGAACCATTATTGAATGAGTCATCTCATCAAAAAAAGGGTTAAAGAATATTTGATTGAGCAGTCTTTTGTGTGGAGCTATAGCCTTGGGTCATGTTGGCCTCTGGAAACTTTGTGCCCCTATTTACACATTAGTCCAGTACGCGTCGTACTTCTGTGAATTTTTTTAAGCCTACATCCAGAGTTGAGTATTTTGAGTAAATTATTTTTTCCTCCATCTTTCTTATTAGTCCAAAGATGAACAACAAAAATCAACACAACAAGCAGAGTGAAGGGAGCAGGGAATATTGAAAGATTCCGCACCCCGGGTAGACAAAGACAACCGTTCTACCTAGTCAAAAAGGAGAGATGAGACTGCTCCTGTGTTACATGATGCTGCTGGGGTCCAGTTGCGTGATTTCTACCTACGGGCCCCCTCAGAGAGCACAGATGACTGGTGATATTTTACTTGGGGGTCTGTTCCCCATACACTTTGGTGTTGCATCCAAAGATCAAGACCTGGCGGCCAGACCAGAATCCACACAGTGTGTCAGGTAAGATTTATAAGAACAAAGCCTTAAAACCAGACTTCCTTTAACTCACATGGAAACCTGCCTTGTTTATTTTCACAGGTTTAACTTCCGTGGTTTCCGCTGGCTTCAGGCAATGATCTTTGCCATTGAAGAGATTAACAACAGCAGCACACTCCTTCCTAACATCACCTTGGGCTTCAGGATATTTGACACATGTAACACTGTGTCAAAAGCATTGGAAGCTACCCTTAGTTTTGTGGCTCAAAATAAGATTGACTCCCTGAACTTAGATGAGTTTTGTAACTGCACCGATCACATCCCTTCAACTATTGCCGTTGTCGGAGCAGCGGGATCTGCAGTGTCAACGGCAGTGGCAAACCTACTGGGTCTGTTTTACATTCCCCAGGTCAGTACCTTGACAGTGGCTACTTCAGCACCACATCATTACTCCTCCTCATCTGAACACTTAAAAATCTCAGCAAAAGGTCACAACGTCATACTGTCCTTCAAATAAAACTCAATGCAATGCACATATCTGAGAATAATGTCTTAATTATGTTTGAACAACAGAATGAAAAAGCAAACATAAATTGTGACTATTGAAATGAACTGAACTTAAACTGAATGTCTAATCTTTCCTTATACAGATAAGTTATGCTTCGTCTAGTCGCCTCTTGAGCAACAAGAACCAGTACAAGTCCTTCATGCGGACAATTCCTACGGATGAATACCAGGCCACAGCCATGGCTGACATCATTGAGCACTTCCAGTGGAACTGGGTCATTGCTGTTGCCTCGGACGATGACTACGGCCGTCCAGGAATAGAAAAGTTTGAGAAAGAGATGGAAGAACGAGACATCTGCATTCATCTGAATGAGCTTATTTCTCAGTACTTTGAGGACACTGAAATCAAAGCTCTGGCAGACAGGATTGAGAACTCCACAGCTAAAGTCATCGTTGTGTTTGCCAGCGGCCCAGATATGGAACCTCTCATTAAAGAGATGGTCAGGAGAAACATCACAGATCGGATCTGGCTGGCCAGTGAAGCATGGGCAAGCTCCTCTCTTATTGCTAGACCAGAATATTTAGATGTTGTGGCAGGGACCATCGGCTTTGCTCTGAAGGCAGGGCATATACCGGGCTTTAGAGAGTTCCTACAGCAAGTTCATCCAAAGAAGGACAGTCATAATGAATTTGTCAGAGAGTTTTGGGAAGAAACCTTTAACTGTTACCTGGAGGACAGCCCTAGACTCCAAGAAAGTGAAAATGGTAGCACCAGTTTCAGACCTTTGTGTACTGGTGAAGAAGACATTACAAATGTTGAAACCCCATACCTGGACTACACACATCTTCGTATCTCCTATAATGCTTATGCTGCAGTTTATTCAATTGCACAGGCCCTGCAGGACATACTCACCTGCACACCTGGACACGGTCTTTTTGCCAACAATTCATGTGCAGACATCAAGAGAATGGAGGCATGGCAGGTAAAATATATGGCAAATGATCAAAAATACCCTATTATGTTGACTTGAGATTCGCTGATTTTTTTTTTTTTTACATCACAGGTCTTAAAGCAGCTCAGACATCTTAACTACACAAACAGTATGGGTGAAAAGATTCACTTTGATGAAAATGCTGACCTGGCAGGAAATTACACTATTATTAACTGGCACAGATCAACTGAGGATGGATCTGTGCTGTTTAAAGAGGTTGGATACTACAGCATGCATGCCAAGAAAGGATCCAAGCTGTTTATTGACAAGGCAAATATTCTTTGGAATGGTCACAGTTCAGAGGTTAGTAAAACTCTATTGCTGATGCTGGGTGATGTTGGGATTTTAGCAACCATCTAATGCAACTTTGCTATCTGACTTATGATCTTCAGGTGCCTTTCTCGAACTGCAGTGAGGACTGTGAACCGGGCACAAGGAAGGGGATCATTGACAGTATGCCCACATGCTGCTTTGAGTGCACAGAATGTTCAGATGGAGAGTACAGTAATCATAAAGGTGAGCAAGAGCGGTCTGTTCAGTCTCTGTGAAACCGTTTGTTAATATGGAGGTTTTATAACAAAAACTATTTTGTGTATTTATTCAGATGCCAGCGTTTGCAGCAAGTGTCCAAATAACTCCTGGTCCAATGGGAACCACACATTCTGTTTCCTGAAGGAAATCGAGTTTCTCTCTTGGACAGAGCCTTTTGGGATAGCTTTAGCCATATGTGCCATTTTGGGGGTTGTCATGACAGCTTTTGTGATGGGAGTCTTTGTCAGATTTCGCAACACTCCAATAGTGAAGGCCACAAACCGAGAGCTCTCCTATGTTCTCCTGTTCTCCCTCATTTGTTGCTTCTCCAGCTCTCTGGTATTCATTGGGGAGCCGAAAGACTGGACATGTCGTTTGCGTCAACCCGCCTTTGGGATCAGTTTTGTTCTCTGTATCTCCTGCATCCTTGTGAAAACCAACAGAGTGCTTTTGGTATTTGAGGCCAAGATTCCCACAAGTCTGCACCGAAAATGGTGGGGGTTAAACCTGCAGTTCCTTCTGGTATTTCTGTGTACTTTTGTACAAGTAATGATATGTGTGGTTTGGCTTTATAATGCCCCTCCTTCTAGCTATATGAATCACGACATTGACGAGATCATTTTTATTACATGCAATGAAGGTTCTGTGATGGCTCTTGGGTTTCTTATTGGCTATACGTGCCTCTTGGCAGCCATATGTTTCTTTTTTGCATTTAAGTCACGAAAACTTCCAGAAAATTTTACAGAGGCCAAGTTCATCACCTTTAGCATGCTAATATTCTTTATTGTTTGGATATCTTTCATTCCTGCATATTTTAGTACTTACGGAAAGTTTGTTTCAGCTGTGGAGGTCATTGCTATTCTGGCTTCTAGCTTTGGAATGCTGGCCTGTATCTTCTTCAACAAGCTCTACATCATTCTTTTCAAGCCCTGCAGGAACACTATTGAGGAGGTCCGTTGCAGCACTGCAGCCCACGCTTTCAAAGTGGCAGCCAAAGCGACTCTGAAACATAACACAGCTTCAAGGAAAAAGTCCAGCAGCATCGGTGGGTCCTCTGGCTCGACTCCATCCTCATCTGCCAGCTTTAAAACCAATGGCAATGACTGTGATCCAACTTCAGGAAGGCATAGGCCAAGGGTGAGCTTTGGTAGTGGAACAGTAACTCTGTCATTGAGCTTTGAGGAGTCTAGGAGGAGCTCACTGATGTAAGAGAGAACTAATGGGGGCATCAGGCCCCAGCCTCAACAGGTCCTAATGAATTGGTTTATTGTTGTACTAATAGTAAGACTTGACAGTGTGTGATAGCAAGAAATGACTTGGCTGTGCTTTTTGATGGAACTCAGAGTTTTGGTTACCTCTCAGTAAGTATGCAGGAAAGAGTTCCATCATCTGTGCTGATAAAACCAAGGCAAATCACGAGGCCCAAACATTCATTTGAAATAAAATTAGGAAATGTGTAAGGCATTACATATAATCTAAACAACGGACAAGTCATACTGTCCCCCTCAAAGTCAAATAATGACACGGTCCTTCTACATAGATTTTTTCATGTTTGATTTTTTTATGTAATGGCAAAGAGAGAGCATAGTTATAGCAGGATAACTGTCCTACAAATGCACTGTAACTAAATTCTGTGACTTTTGTTATGTCCACCATGAGTCTGTTTCACATTAAGTCTGCAAATAATGTTTGGATATTTTGTATAATTAGATACATCACACCAGATTGTTTTCTTTGCTATACTTTTTTATACATAAACTCATTTTACTCAATGCAATAAACACATCTAACATTCAGAGTACAGGGTAATTCTTGTGTTCATCTTTCAGAGAATATTCTCTGCCTTGAGCTCGCTTATCACAAGCCTCTGCCAACTGCAAACAGTGAGATCCAACCTCACATGTCAATGTCATTCTTGCAGTGAGTCTACACTACACAGCGATGTATTTTCAGTATGTGGGGGGTATAGAAGGAGCAACAGTTATCTGATTGTTAAAAGTGAAACAGTAAACATCCTCAGTTGAGTAGAATAGCGGCTGTAGCTCAGATGATTTAGTGAATAAATAATTTAACCAGAAAACTACTTCATATAGCATCCCGACTTTGGGAATGTATGTGAAATATGGAAAAGAAATACCGTCTAGAAGTTAAAGTTGACTTAAAATGCTCTTTTCATTTACAGCTTTGCAACAATAATCCACACTACTCACATTTCTGAAGCAGGTAAACAAATATATTGCGAAAATAGTTTGTCTTGTGTTTGTATTGTCTGCACTTAAATGTGTTGGCTGCATCTTGCCTAATTTACAGCTTCTAAAAATATGAATTTGCAATAATTGCAGCCTGAAAAGGGTAGACCGTTCCTTAGAAGTATCCTGTCTGACATTGTGTGACAGGCGGAGCACATTCTGGACAGGTCACCAGTCCATAATAGGTTTACACAGTTCCAAAGAACCATGCAATCTCACACAAACTTTAAAGCGAACGTAAGCATAAAGACAATTTAGAGGTACCGATTAACCTTAAATGCATCATTTTGGATGGTGACTACCCAGTCAGACCACATAAATCCGCAAAACATTTGCTGTAAGGAGCAACCAATCTACTGCTAACCAATAGATCACTGTTCAAACCAAGCTTTCAGCAGCAAAAATGCGTGTGAATGAATAAAAAGTTATCAGTTCAACACAAAGACATTAAGATGGAGGGCAACAGAATGATACATACGGAACTGGGAGCAGCTGGATAATAACCTTTGCAGAATGAAATAACCTTTACCCACAGAGGCTCAAATATGGCCCCATGGTGAAATCAGCATGTTGTTTATTTCTGCTCTCCAAATAGAGCTGAGAAAAAAAGGGGAAAAAAGCATCCATGAAGCATTGCTTGCTGGGAACATCTGGATTAGCTCTCATAATCACTAGAGTATACTTACAAAATATAAAAGTAAACCTGATACATATATCCCCAATCCATTTAGGTGACATTAATACTGTAAAAGTGAAAGAGAAAAGAAAATGTGTATTTTTTAAATAGTGAAAGCAAGATGTGGTGGTGTGGTATCAGAAGGGGAATTCAATATATCTGAATGTTATTTCAATGACTGTTAAATATGGGCGGGCCATATCATATACCTCTTACTTTTTACATACTACCACTTTTTAATTACCTATTTTATATAATTACATGTACACAAATGCACATAAGTGCTAACACAAGGTTTTGAAAATAAGATCAGTTGATACGAATGGTGCAAGATTATGTTAAATTAAACTTTAATATACCAAGTATTGCTTGATTGAATTTAGCATGAATCTTTGAAATATGCAAAAAGAAAAGATGGAGGTCACTATTTGATTTGGAAAAAATAGCTGCCAGACGCATAGTTATTGATTCAGTACTAGATGATTTAGAAATTCTAAGCTATTATTCCAACGCATTGAAAAAATAAATTGTAGCCGATTTATTTATTATGCTTTACAAAAAAAATGATTTTAAATGCACCTCTTAGAGCAATTTTTTAAATTGAAATATGTATTTCTATCTTCAGAGTTTAATTTTCAAAGTTATCTCATTTTCTCTAAATGTCATTTAATTTTCTATAAAACATATATAGCGCTGATTTATATTTCCTAACATCCTACATTCAAAAATAGCCCAACCAAATTCCCAAGTGAGTGCCAGTGGAGTTTTACCCTGCTGTAATTGTCAATTGTATAGTTTAAATCTAATGTGATTAATAAAAACGTAGCCACTCGTGGCTGCTTTTACCTTACAAACCGGAAATGAACACAGATTCCTGTTTGTACATGGTCCCTTCATAATAAAAGCAGCTAAAATGACTGGTTTGCAAAATAGGAAAACTGACTTATATGAGGTGATTGTGGGATATGGGAGGTTGTATGTGGTCAACTGTAGGATGGGACCTTCTGGCCAAAGTTTTCTTCAGTGGTCTAAAATGTTAAAAGCTTCTCAGTCTAGATTCCCTACCCTACGTTTTGTTAAACGCGCGCGCGTTTTCTCTGCCTCAATAGTCTTGCTCTTCCAACTGTTTGAGGAAAGAATTACACTGAAAATCCTTCCAGCGGAAATGGTAACAGTTACGCTGCCTACACGCGTCGTTGTTTGTTGCTGTTACCTGACGTTAGCCTTCAGAAAAGGTAAGAGGCATTATCAAATCAACAATATACTTTATATGAACATAAATACAATTTTGCCTTTGCCTACAACTGGGATTGGCACCTGCAATGCGTGAAAATATACGTTTTCAACAATTCCTTTTGGATTGTATCATAAAATCCATATTCGGCAGTTAGCTAGCAGGTGGGTCAATTTATTAGAGCAGTGCCAGAAAGTTCAGGGAGCAAATGCCAAGTTTTATAATCATACAACAGACTAAGCAAGCTATAACGGAGTAGATTGCCTCCACTTTAAAGGCTGTGTCATTGACAACTTTTACAATAGGACATTGAAATGACGGTCGAAGTTAGCCAGTCTCTGCCTCAAAAACAGACAACACACATATGCAAATGAAGCGTGTTGAAGTTATATAATAAAAATATCACTCTTGAATACGTTCCACCTAACAGCAACCATAAATGTGTGTAGTATTTCTGGAGTTCATTAAAATAGTTAGCATTTTTATTTCAAAAGCTGCTGCCAGCAAAGCTGGATAGTTGATGGGACAGTTACATATAACAGCATATTTTTCTGAATGTTTGGATTTCCCTGGTTTAAAGAGTTAACTCATTAAGACCTGGTAGCACAGTTCCCAGGGCTATCAGGTAACTCAGGACTAGCTGAGTTAAGATGATATATTTCTATAAGTTGGAGGTGAGCCCCACCCAAACCAGAATTGAAAGACTCCTAACCGGATATGGAAATAAATGTTTAAGAATGTTTAAATGTTTGACAAAGGTGGTGTCTGTAGTTTTTAAAGTAAACAAGACATGGGTAGAGACATGTGCTGTTTTGCTTTAACCGAAATCTGCTTAAAAATAAATCTGTGATTTGAAACTTCTGTCCATTGCTTTTTTAAATTCATCAGTCTGGATATTTACATCACGTTATGTGTTCCATATTATTATGAAAATGTGCCCTGTCTTCTTTATTCACATCCTTGCTATCCCTCCCAATCTTTTTACAGTTGCTGGAGAGCTGACATCTTTTGGTTTCAACATCTGAGAATGGATTCTTACCATCCAGCGTTGGGCTTTCGACTCTGAGCTCACTTTAATCTACCTCGATCACTGATTTATTCCATAGTTAATGAGCATGTTTCACCACCATGGGATGACTGGTCAATAATTCCATGTTCCTTTGTATTTTTTTAAAGGTTCCACACTGTGGTAATACCCTACATTTTATGTAGCAGCATACATTTAAATTCCATTACTGACTTCATCAGAGTGAGCCAGACATGGGGATCTGTTCAACGGTCAGCAAAGCTTTGCGGAGAGGCAAATTTTTTTTCCTGCTTATTCTCTTGCTGTCACTGTTGGCATGGATAGCAACATTTTCTGGTGAAACTGTGAAATCCATTTTGGCCCCCTTTGGAACAACAGAAACGTTTGTCAAAGGGGATAAACTGAGGGAAAAACTTAATGTTTTACTCACCGAACCTGATCAAGTCATTGCTCCAACACAAAGTGCTGAATGCCCACAGGTGTCTCCATTGCTAAGTAAGTATACTGAGTTATCTGGCAATAAATGTGATGAATGCAACATACACATGGTATTTTACTTAATTTGTGTCTTATTTGTTTGATATTCAGGCCGTCAGTAGTGTTATGTATCGCCTGTTTGTACACTGCAACACGATGGGATTATTTTTAAACACATTTGGAACTCAGCACTGTTTACAGCACATTTGTGTCACATTCCCATCTAACATGACTTTGGGTCAACTATTAAATTGTGTTTTCACAGAGGGTGCTGTGGGTCTGTCATTCGAACCCTCCCTGAAACTAAAGGATCTTGAAATTGCCAACAAAGGAGTGACTGAGGGAGAGTATGAGCCTTCAGACTGTACAGCAAGGCAAAGTGTAGCAATCCTTATCCCACATCGCAACCGGGAGAGGCACCTCCTCTACCTCCTGCATCACCTGCACCCCTTTCTGCAGCGGCAGCAGTTGCATTATGCCATTTATGTCATCCAGCAGGTAAAAATATACCCAATACACTAAAGCTGAAGTGGTATCCAAATTGTATTGAATTAAGAAATTAAAGGCTATTTGAAGTTAAGGTTGTGCCTGTTTGGCCACTGTAAGCTGTTAAGCGGGGTGGTGGATCTAAATATGAAACACCCACTGAAGTTATAAATATTAGTTTTGTATTAGGCTGTCTTACCAGAGCAGATTTATGTTTTGTGGATGAATATACACACTTAATGTTGGTCAGCCTGAATAAACATGCTAAGTTTTTTTTTTTTCTGTTTTCCCGGATACAATGATGTTTGTCATCAGAGAGGTATTAGTGAAAAATAATCCTAGTTTAATATGTGTCATTCGAAAAGAATATAACATCTAAATGTTTCTCTGAGCTGTACCTTCTCTTAGTGTAACCCATGTATCTTAAGTTTTATGTTTCCAAAGGGTGAAAAATAGTAAATAAGTGGATGCCATCATAAAATCTGCAATCCATGATATCTTTGAACTATACATAAAAAGCATGATGTCACTGATGTTTTCTCTTCTCAAAAGGCTGGTGATGAAACGTTTAACCGAGCCAAGTTACTAAATATTGGGTATTTGGAGGCACTAAAGGACTACATTTGGGACTGTTTCATCTTCCACGATGTTGACCTGGTTCCTGAAAATGATAACAATTTATACATCTGTGATAAGCAGCCCAAACACTTGGTGGTTGGCCGAAATTCCACAGGATACCGGTAAGTATATGAGTAATAGTAAAAAAGCCTACTATATGTCAGTGGTTAATAGTTAGTCTTTATTCTCCCCTTGTAAATTCACAATAGTGTTATTGTAACTGATGGCACCCTGTTTTTGCCTTGATATTACTGTCAAAGATCTGATATAATTTTCTAATATTTACGTTTTCTCCCCGTCATCCGTCACTTTCTCAACAGGTTGCGTTACAAAGGCTACTTTGGCGGAGTCACTGCCATGACCAGAGACCAGTTTCTCCAAGTCAATGGATTTTCAAACAATTACTGGGGTTGGGGAGGGGAGGATGATGACCTACGTGTTAGGTAAGAAACAGTGTGCAAGGTAAACACTCCTGATACATCTAAGCAGATGTGACACACTCTCTTTGATACACATTGCTGTTTCATGCAGGGTTGAGCTGCAGAAAATGAAGATTTTGCGACCATCTGCTGATGTTGCTCGCTATACGATGGTGTTTCATAAACGGGACAGTGGCAATGAGATAAATAACAAGAGGTAAGTACATGTGGATAAAAGGATAACCTTTAGTGTAAATTCTACTGTTTTTTTTTTTTAAGTGTGCACAGTTTGGTGCAAATGATTTATCAGGAATAGAGATATTTGAAATTTCTGCGCAAGAATGATAAGAGAGCAAGGATCTGAAGCGCTGGTTAATTTATGCTGAAGGGAAGATTGTTCTGAGATCCACTGTAAACACAAAAAAATGTCTGAAACATTTAGCTAACTGTATTATCACCATGGATCCCAACTGACAGACTGGCCAAATTACACAAGTATGGAGTGTGTCAGATACAGTACAGAGCATGAAAAGAGGCAGCGGAAAAACACAAGATGTTTTTACACACAGAGCTCCGCAGGAAGCTGCTGGTTCTCTCATTGGAAACAACAGCTAATGATTTGGCAGCATTGCTGAACATTATTTTCCTGAACCTTATGACTCTTTTCCCTAAATCTGGTCACTTCCAAACAGTTTTTTTCGACTTACTGCAGCTTGCAAATGTACTTTTCCTGTCTTAATGAAGCCCCCCCCCCCCCCCCCCCCCCCTTTGCTTTTAGGATGGGGCTGTTAAGTCAAACATCACATGTGTGGAAAAAGGATGGACTCAACAGCTGCTCTTATAAGACATTGTCAGTTGAGAGGTTGCCTCTCTATGTGAATGTTACTGTTGACATTGGTAAGCCACATATTTGACTTCTTAAATAGAAAATCCTTCTCTTATACATTATTCAGTTCAGCCCACTGAGTGCTGAAAAACTACAACAAGATACCATCTTCTGTAAAGATGCACTTTCTTCATGTGTTAAGTTTATCAAAGGTATTTTTCTGACTAACTCACATATGCCTTATGATTTGCCTGCTTAATTCACATATGTGGATGCAGATTCTTTTTTTTGTCTGCATGCATCAGTTTCCTGTTCAGATGTCTTAAATCGCCTCAACAAAAATATTGTTTTATCTTGTTTGGATAGATCTTCTCTCAGTCTTAAAAAGGAAGTCAGTGATTGATTTAAATGTCTCGCACAGTCATGATAGATAAAATTCGACAGAGTTTTGTGTTCTGTTATCACCACTGCATTCTACCACCCATATGTTCCAGCACTGTTTACCTCTTTTGCCTTCAAAAGTCAGAATAGATAACCGACCACCCCGGTTAATATAGATGTGATATTTGGGACATTGACCGCCCTGTTGCCCCTGCAAGGGCAGGGAGGGCATGCGGTGTAAAAACGTCTGCCAAAACTACCCTGTGAATTTAGGCTACGCTGCAGCGACCCCGATAAGAAAAGCCGAGGGTGACAACCTGTTTATATGTTTGTGAATACATCAGCAGATGATAGGGGAAAATCTATTGGCTGAAAATGAACAAACATTAATGCTAACAGACGGAAGGCTGAAGTTAGCATTACCATGGTTTAAATAACAGCTACGGGGGAATTATTATTGATGATGGGTCAGAATTTCTGCCTTAACACTACAAACACCACGCTGCTCTAGAGTGAATTATTGTTATGACTTAAAGTTTAAGTGAATTAATTCAGTTTGATTGATTACTTTTAGCTACTGAACTCAAGAAGGACGGCCATCTTCACATGACTTTCTTTTTTGTGAACTAAGACCACAAAAATATATTTTTATTATACATTCTCTTTAGGACTTTAAATGTGTGTTTTTGGGGTTTAAACGGTGATGGATTATTTATTACTTGAAGTATTTAAAGTATATTATTTAGAACAATCAACATAATTATTTCTGAACTATTGTACGTGAAGGAATTTGGTTTAAAGAAAATCTTCTTATTTGGCATATTATTTCATGCTGTTATGGGATTCAACTGATACACATATCGTATTTTTACCTTAAATCTTTTAAAAAATGTATTCTTCCAAAACCGAATAATGCTTTTAAATATTCTGAAAAAACGTTCTTCCTTTTTCTTCTCACTCATTGAATGAGCGTATTTATTAGACTAGAGTTTAATAATAGTTACAGGTAAAAGCCAACTGGCAGAAATTACGCTGTTAAAATGTTACACTGCTGGTGAGCTGAACTACTCTAACAATCTGAAGGAAGCTGTCGCCCTTAGAAATACAAACGTCCTTTGCTATTGGCGCACTGACTGAGTGTTTACGTCTTGGCTGCATGTGTAATCCTGATTTAATGTTTTTTTTTTCATTCTTTTTTTCTATTTTACAGTTATATCTTAAAATATTGTGACTGCACAAGAAAAACCAAATTGTTACAAACTTAAGCAAAATAATCACAACCGAGTAAATCATCTGTTTGTATTGTTTTTGAACTGTCCTTCAAAGTGATGACTTATGAACTCTTGTTGAAATGATTCTCAATGTTTGAGGGTCATTTGTAATGCCTTTTATGTGTGTTTGAAATGAAAAATGTGGGATTAAGGAAGATTTGTTGGCACAAAGCAATACAGTGGTATATTTTTATCAATGTGGGATCTAATTGAACTGGGGTTCTGTGGTTTTTAAGGGTACTGAAGGAGTAAGCATTTACAGACTGGTCCTCTTTTCTTTTGGACTTCTTGTTCAACATATTGGGTTGTCATGTTTCTACATTGGCCCAGAACACGAAACACTTGCTCTTCAAAGTGCGTTTTTTAAACCGTCAGCGTTTCTTCTACATGGTTGGAATGGCAGGGTGGGGTTGGGTGGGGTGGGGTGGTGGGGGGGGCTCAGCTGTTTGTGAGACGTAACTTCCTAGACAGATGTCTCCTGAATCCCACATACTGCTTTTGTTATATGTTACAAATTATGGAAACGATGGAATATGTCAGTTTCTTTACTCATAGGATTATTTTCTCTTGAGAAACTGTATAATAAATACTTTTTTTTCTTAAAACCTGACTTATGGTTTCTTCTGCATTTCATTTCTCCTTTTTATCTTTGGGTGTGCATGATCTCATAGTGCTTTGTTTCATTATGGAACTTAAATGTGACTGATCCTGAAAAGATACAACATATTGGAAATCACTGCTAACTTTTTGGGTGAAAATATGTAACATTTAGTCTGCATTTCAAACCCTATTCCTAGGGATTTTCAGAGTTATTCAGAGAAAGAATTGTTGCCTCCTTAGAAAAAAAAAAGCCATTGACATCAACATGATAATAGTTGATTGATTTAGTTTAAATGAATGTATGGTACATATAGTATATGTTGTATTAAGCACAGTTCTACCTGTAGGTGGCATTGAAAGCACAATTTCACTATCCCTTCTGTGTCACGGAGTTTGCTTTTACTGCCAGTTTGTGCCACACTTTTACTCATCATGCCATGTCATCATGTCTCACTTATAAAACCTCCTTAAGTTGTGTTAGGGTGGGGACCATACCAGTAAAGCTAATGAGCTAAAGAAACAAAATTGTTTTTAATGTTTGTGTAGTCAGCCATCCAGGTTATGGTCATCCTAAAATTTCTTCTTAGATCTGAATGACTGAAGAGGCTTTTTGAATGAGAGATTCAAAAAGCCTTTTTCAAGATTCAAGAGGTCCTGTAACCTTTAATCAGGATTTTTTTTATGAATGAACAAAACACAAAAACAAAAAAAAAACAGTTTTCATACTCGACTCTATATTCAGCTAGTTTAGCGTTATCTGGCTTCAGTTAACAAAAGTTTACTTGAAAAAGACTCTTAGCTGCCTGTGCTCCAAAACCTTTTTTGATCTTAACATCAGTTTTCGGGCTTGTTTGTTGTCTTTAATAATTTATATAACACATGAAATATGTTATATAAATTATGAAATCGCCCGAATATTGAGCTGTTTAAGGTTTGAAGCTATTTGGTAGGTTTGTTGTGGATTTCATCAGCTACGGAGAAATTAAAATTAAATGTGAGGTCATAACTTCATTGTGAGTGCAGCGCCACTCGCTGACAATAAGGGTACCATTGTAAGTTAAAGACAGGAAATTTACACCAAAGACTGAGCACCTGTGCAGCTGACGCCATGGGTCTAAAATCTGAAATTGTTGTCAAGCACATTGCATGGAGATTAGCTATACATAAACCCAAATATGAATCAGGCAGTATATCATTTTCCAGAAACTATTGATTTACAATTTTGATTGATTCTGTCTGGATTCCACTACTGGACTGGGTATGTAATATATTTTCATTCAGATCAGCTGTGTTTCACATGATAACAATATTCTTTTGTTGTTCCTTCATTGCCTCATTTCCACACTGACATGAAATTGGAGCTAAATTATGCTGCAGATCTACAAGGCTCTGCATATCTCTGGGGACACAGTCCACTAAAACAGTGGCTGTAACGGCAATAATAAGCTCCAATTTTTCACACACAATGAAATGTCTTTTTCTTTTCTTTTTTTCAAAAAACTGGTGCAAAGAAAGAGCGGGATGTCTGAGGCTTTGTATGAACTGAATGATGTCACGTCCTCTTCCTATGGTGCAGAAAGAAAGCTTTGTCTTGAAGAAGCGATGCCTGGTCATCAAGCTTCCATGTGACATTCACAAAACACTTTTGGCACAAAATGACCAACTCTGCAAAGCTGAAGACTACCATCTTCTGTTCAGAGACAGCATGCCAAAATGATGCCTGTTTGTACACTGCAGGCTCCTGTTTTGCTGTGCTTGGTTTGGGAATGTTGTAACCACGGTATTAATTTAATTTTCAATGTAGTTCCAATGACTAGGAATACCTAGCATTTTTGTTTTCTTTGTATTTTACTCATGCCTAACAATCCCAAATGACTTTATTCCCTCCCCTATTTATTACCTCTGTGCAAGTTACTCCTCTGAACTCCAGATTTCTGAAGTTTGATATTAGCCACTCCATGTTGTAGAATAGCCCATTTATTAATAATGTTTAGATAATATTAATAATTAGCTCAACAGGAAAAAAGTCTCAAATGTGAGCGGCATACTTTAAGCTTATTGTTAATTCATATAATTTGTTAGAACAAAGGAATCAAATGTTGACCGGATCTTTCTTTCTACTCCTGTGGGAGTTTCAGTATTTGTTAGCTTGTTGTTTTTTGGTTTTTCTATTTCCCAGTCTGCTCCTTTACTGTTTCTCCCACTCACTCAGCTCTCGACACTGTTTAGGTTGAAGAAGGCAGCTGTTGCAAAAACTTCTCATGAACTCTCAAGTTACACTCGGGAAGAGCATTAAATGGGAGACGGGCGCTGTTGGGGATGAGCTTATGAACCCGGTGAATATTCTTCCATGGAGTTGGTACCAAAATGCACATAAAGAGGACTGAATATTCTCATCAGGTAACAACAACTACCTCTCAAGATATACAGTAATGTTGATCCACAGCTTGATAGGCATCTGTTTTCTTAAAAAATTCTGTTGATGATCTTATAGTTCACAAAGTCAAGCCAAACGGACCTTTACTTTTTAAAAGAAAATAGAAATATTCATAATTAATGCAAAAACTGTTGTAAAATAGTATCAACCTTTTTTGTTATTATTTTGTTAGGCTGGGAGTTAAACATAGAAAATGAAATAAAAAGTTGACACAGCGTTGCAGTTGGTGCCACAGTCATTCACACTTTGTAGGTCACAGTGTGTTTTCTGTGCTTATTCCCAGTCCATCAGGTTGTGGTTTTCTGGTTTTAAGAGAAGGCAGCTGGACTTCTTTTTGGTTTCTTTAACATGTGTCCCTTCCCACCCAAGATGCCTTCTTATTTCTAACTTGCCGGTCGGAAGCCAGTATTGCCGGTATTTAAGATCTTGTGGGATCATTAATGCCTTCAAAGTTTATTCTCAAGGTGCTAATGAAAAGAAGTCCAGCTGCCTTCACTTTCAGCTCTGCATATGTTTGTAGTTTCTATTTTTTCAGAGCATTCCAATTGAGCTGCTCGTGAACAGCTTCTCATGCTGTTCAATTGGGGCATGGAGAAACTTTTTTTTTGAAGGATCATTTCACTTTTGATTATATAAATGCCTCCTAATCGAATAAATTACAGCAGTGAGTGGTGCTATGAAAACAGTCTAGTAGGGATAGATTATAGATTTGCTGGAATTATTCCCAGATCATGTCACACAAAGTTCCGTTAAAAGATCTGTTGAAGATCTGTCATTTTCTAATGTGTGATGGAAGAATTTGTGGGGCATGCTAACGTATTGCATGATATTTCTCAAGCGTAGCATTCCAATGCATGGATGCAATTAAATTACATTTACTGAAGGCATGGGTGGAGTTCTGTAAGAAGCCTTGATCCACTTCCCAGCATTAATGTAGACACAGTCCCACATTCAGTAATGGGATTTTTCATTGAAGCTGCTATCCATTTCATAAAGGAGCAGATAACACGCATAGCAGTTAGTAACAAGAACCATGTGTTGTCCATCTTGTCACGCCTGCCCCCCCTCTCTCCCCCCATTTCCCATCTGTGCCCTTCAGGCCCTCTTTTCAGTCACCTCCCACTTCCTTCTTCCTTTAGAACCCGTCTGTTTTTGTTTTTGAGCCCGGGCTCTTTGCACAGGAAACTGCGTATACATTGGGAGCATTCAGGAAGGCACAGAGCAGCTTTCCCGTTAGCCCCAAGTTTTGGCCAAATAGGAAAAAAAAAGTAGAATTCAAAAATAAAAAGTCAGTCGTTCTTACGCTAGTAAAGACAGAAATCAGCCGCTCTCCTCCTCCACTCCTAGCTTCATATCCCTCCCCCTTGCTTAGTCTAAACAGTGCACAAATCTCTGACCCACCACTGCCACGATTCCATCATCACTTTGTTTAGAAAAACTTATGGAGAGATCTGTCTGAGATTTTAAAAAAGGATGTTCATGAGGGGGGTTTATGTTAGAGCAACAGGGCAGTCAGTCAAAAGGGGAGACTGTGTGGAATGAAGGAAAAGAGGAGGAGATAAAAAAAGGAGCAGAGAGAGACTGGCTGGGGGTAACAAAAACAACAGGAAACCGACCGATTCTAATGCTGTTTCTGCAAATCTGTGTTAGATAAAGCAGTGGACGGCTAGGTCCAAGCCAACGAACAGTCACGCTATGTCTTTTCCTAGGTCATTCTATTAAGGAAAGACTATCTAAAGGACTTGAAGTTTTAAAAGTGACGTCACTTCTGCTCGCAGCCTCCAACCGTGTGGTTTGTCAGTGTGAGCGGATGCAGACATTTGGGAGCTGTTTGCTGGGATTTCTATGGCTGCCTTTTGATTTACCATCTCAACCTTTCTAGAGGTCATATGGATCAGTCGCTGTGCTTTCAAGGAACTTTTTTGTTTAATCACCTGGACTACTAACTGGAGCCACATGAAGAATAAAGGAACTAAGCAGAAGTCTAAAAAGAAAGGAAGTGAAAATGCGTTCGGCTGTGACCTGACAGAACATCTCCAGAATTCGGGACAAGATGGTAAACTTGTTTTTCTTGTTATCTTTTAAACATTCCTTTAACGTGAGGAGATTTTATCAGATGAAACATGATTTCCTTCAGTGATAACTTGGCTCCAACCCAGACAATACCATTCAAAATAATCTAAAAGGGCTTTTGAGATCAAGGAATCCTTTCCTAACTTATACAGGCTATTTAATCCGGCTATAAGTTCATACTGCGTTGAAAGAGAGACAGAAAGACAAAGGGTCTTTATGTAACAGACAGTCTTAGCTCAGAGGTTAGATATGTGCTTTTAGAGCGTACATGTGTTTTACATTTAGTAAGATCATTCATTCACCCATTGGCTGCATTAAATTGACTTTGGGTGTGGCCCCTACATTTTTTGTGTCAATTTCCTCTGGTGACTATAGTTCCTATGACAAGTTTTGTGTCTCCGCAAATGACTGGGCGGCACTGTTGCTTACATGACAGAGAGGAAAGAATTATGGAATACGCTGAGCCAAGAAAAAAAATGAAAAGAAATTTATAGTAATGTATTGGGTGGTTAAGTTTTTTAAGAACGTTTTTTTTCCTTTGCCTGCATTTTATTTCCCATTTTTCCATCTGATCTGATGTTTTTACACCAAAGTATTCACTCCAGTAAATACAAGTGAATCTCATGTTCAGAGGCATATGAATACCCAAGCTGAGAATAACTCAGGATGTGTTAGATTGGGCTAAATGTAAGGTAGGACATTCTGTGCAGGAAGTGAGGGGAGGAGGTGAGGGTCAGAGTCCTGTGTCATGGAAGCTTTACACACATTGTGCTTTGAAGGCTCTTTCTAAAATGTAACTCTTAATCAGTAAAGGCAATCAATTTAGATAAAAACATTCTTTAACATCAAAATATTCTGTTATTCATGATTATATGACATTTATTATGAATTTTTTTCAAAAACATTCAAATATCAAAATTATTAATTGTGTAAAATTGATCAATAAACTGCCATGACTTACATTAGTTTCCATACAGTGAGTAAAAAAAGAACTCCTGAGCAAACCCTCCCCTTTCCCTAAGAGTAAGACATCTCATTCCCTTTCATGCAGAAAGAAATGCATCAGTAAATTGTGAGCAAAACGTGAAAATGTTATGTAAAATTTCATGTGAGTGACCCAGAAAGCGCAGGCTTCACATGATTTAAGTGCTTCGGTTTTTCTGCATTTGGGACCGGCTGGTGTCAGCTCATTGTGTATTTTTTTGTATGTTAATATCCTCCATGAACATTACTGCCATATTGTATAACTGCATTCCCTTGGACAAGAGTTTATAATCTGATCTACATGAGGAGTATTAATATTTTTAAAGTACCCTGACATTCCAATATCCAATGTGGCAGGAAGAATACGTCATGTTATTTGGTAACAGCAAAATAAATGAGCATTATTTTAACTTGGCCAGTATAGAATAATTCACATTAGAGTTTGTGACTCAAAGAGTAAATCCTTTAATAGGTCAGTGAGACTTAAGACATTTACCATAACAGAGACGTGGTGCTGCTGCGATTGTTACTGGAGGCTTCAGCGCTGTTTGCTCTTCTATTACTAACAGGATTCAGGCTTAAACATCTGTGGGAGGATGCATGTACTCGTCATTACCAGCTTCAAAAGAAGTATCATGTTACTTGGGAGATTGGGTTTGTTTAAACTTTACCATCAGAAAGACAAACAAAGGTTCCACCAATTCTTCAAATCAAATAAATGGATATTTTAGCCCCATATTGTATCAATTCATATATGTCAACCCAAGCTTTTCGAGATGCTAAATTCTGGAAAAATAATATTTTTACAGAATAATCATAAAAACCCAAAAAAAGGATAGAGACTGTAGTACTGTTAGGAGATTAGCCAAACACTAACCATCAGATTGGTATTTGTTAAAAAATGAAGACATTCAAAACGTTAAAAGATATTCTTGTTCATGTTCTAAAATATTTCATCATATCAGGAGCTGCTGGAGGGTGAGAGAAAAGGCACAATATATTCGGACTCCCTTTTCAAATTGTACATGTTTTGATCAGTAAAGTAGCTATTTTATTTTGTCTTTTGGGTTCATAAATAATCATTTGAATAAATTCAGTAAGGCTCTTTAAAGGTCAAATGTCAAAATACATTTGGTTGCTAGTGAACAAAAATCTGTCCTAAATTCAGGAACTAAGAGTCACTAAATGACATACCCGGAGCCTTTGACCACAACCATGCAATTAGAAATCCAATTATATAAGTCGAAAAGATGAGAATTTAAATACTTGTTCTGTTTGTGGTCAGGAGTGAGAAATTGATGGTGGCCAGAAATATTCAAGCATTCATTTTGTGGAGGATGAATTCTGCTATTTTTGCCAGATGGCCAAATTCATTATAGGAAGACAAGGAAATAAATCTGAGAAGTATAATATACACACATTTTAGAAAGAGACAGCTTCACTTAATACCAAACAAACAAGCAAACCTTTACTAACGCTGATGCCTCTCTTTTGAAGACTTTTGTTCATGTGAAGACAGAACAGATTGTTAGCTCTGCATTTCATAAAGATCAGTGGCCTGTTTCTGTATCCACATGTACAACAAGCAAAGGAGGGAATCATTCAAAGTTATTTGACACCAACATAAAGTCAACCAGTATATTCTTTGTTGTTGAAATAGAAGCTTTAATAAGCCGACCTAACATACATGACACAAAAAGAAAACATAACAATTTTTTTTTAGTAGTGGAGCCAAACAGTTGTTTACTGGAGTTGATGTACTGTTGTTAAGAAAGCATTGTAGGTCAATGGTAAAATTACAAAAGCCAATTTCTATTAGAGGAAATGTCGTAAGTAATACCAGCTACAAGGACTGGGTGTGTCAACTTTCCTCTGAAACAAACAAACCATTTTTAACTTCCTGTCCAAGTCCACCTACAATAACTGGTCCTGAAGAGTAAAAACAGCCATAGTGGAGCAAACGGCATACCATGAAGTCAGTCTTATGGGAGCATTTGCTGTTCTTTCCATTACTTTTGTGCACGCATGAAACATAAAAGTGTGTTCAAGTTTCTCAAACAGTGCATGATTAACAAATGTTTTTAAACTGAAGTTCCTCAGGTTCTGAAGAAATGTGCGGAGTTTATTGAGAAGTATGGGATTGTGGATGGGATCTACAGACTCTCGGGTGTATCTTCAAATATCCAGCGTCTCAGGTACTTATGAAATGTTTTTCTTGTACACCAATGCTTTCCTAAAATTTTACAAAAATAAACATCTCTCCCGTCGATGATGCTACACATCTGCTTTGAGTCAAAAAGCTCAAGTCACAAATATTGAAAGATATGAAAAAAGAAAAAGAAAAAAAAGATATGAAAAATCTTCAAACGTTGAAACTCATGCATATCACACACATACGCAAAAAGGTAAACGCATGTTGTGTTTACAGGTTTGTGTTTGTTGCTCTGTATTCCCACAAGAACATTTGTGGCCACAACAAACTTCTTTGTGACAACACACACACGCTGCAGCAGACGTTAGCTGTGGTGCCAAACAATCAAAGCATTCAGCTAACCATGACTCGCTGTGTGTGTGTGTGTCTGTGTGTAGGCAGGAATTCTGCTCTGAGGCGTGCCCTGACCTTACAAAGGAAGTGTACCTCCAGGACATCCACTGTGTGGGTTCCTTATGTAAGCTGTACTTCAGGGAGCTACCCAATCCCCTGCTTACCTTCGAGCTATACAGTAAATTCACTGTAAGTACTCTAAATAACATCTCAACACTTTCAAAGGGGTCACAATTGTCCAGTATACAAATTTGTTCAACATTCATTCTTCATATCTTGCACTCAGCAACGTTGTGAGCCATCTTCACTTGATCACTGAGTATATTTCCATTGGTTATATACAACCCTGTCATCACTTTTTCTTAGTGTGACCTCAGTGCTTTGGATAAGCATTTCCTTCCCTATAGAAAACAGTACAGTCAGTGGATCTCATCTGAGTCACAAGCAAAGATCACACCACATTACAAGGCAGAAAAACTTTACTTTTTCCTCAAATCAGTTTTTATAGTTGGTCTCATTACTTCAAAGGTTCAAAAGCAAAGCTAGAGAATTTTATCTTCCTGCAGGATTGTCTGGTTTATTGTTTGTGTGTGCTGTTTTGTGTTTTGGGATGGCAGCAGGGTCTGATGCATAGATAACTGAAGAGTTTGATTTGAGCATAAAATGATGTTTCTTGTGATGTGGATCTCCTGAAACATTGCCTTTGTTACAGCAAGGGTAAAAAAAACACATTAACAGGTAATCAAATTATAAGATAAGCACAAAATCTAACTTCCAAACTCTGTGGACAAAATTGGGATTGCGTGATCTCTACAGTTGGTACCTAAGAGATGTTTTACAGCTGCCTTTCCTGGATGAAATGCTGACATTGAGGAGACAGGAGCAGGGAAAAAAAGAGACAAACATTCCAAAGCGAGACCTGGCTCATGCTTTCTGTGGAGTGTTCTGTGTACCTTGACTGGACATTTGCATACTCTGGAATTCATAAATCTTGTGCTTCCTGTTCCTGAGACTGTTATCCTTTGTTTTAATCAGCACACAAATAAAGATATAAAAGAATCAAAGATTGACATTCACAAATCCTAAACTCGAAGTGTGGATTCTTGCATCTGCTTTACATTCAGGAAGCCATCTCTGTTGCCGGAGATCATGAGAGACTTTTACACATTCAGACGGTCATCAAAGAGCTGCCACCCCCTCATTTTAGGTAAAGCTTAAGCCTTCTTAACACTCAGCACATGCACAACAGCCAAGCTAAATAAGTGAATCCTGTTTGCTCTGTCTGACAAATATGACTTTAATTTGTTCTCAGGACTCTGGAGTTCCTTACAAAGCACCTGGCCCACCTGGCCACCTTAAGCAATCAGACAAACATGCATACACGTAACCTGGCCCTTGTGTGGGCTCCAAATCTGCTGAGGTGAGTTTAGCTGCACAGGCTCCACCCAGAAGTGTTTCATACACTGGAACTTGTCTGATTCCATTTTCCTTGGTTTTGTTCAACTGAAAACTCATTTAACAAGTCAAAAAATCAAATGGGCTTTTCTTAGATTTCACAACTGTAACACTTCCTGTTTGTGTAGATCTAAGGATATTGAGGGATTGTCTGGCAACGGAGACATGGCCTTTCAAGAAGTGCGGAAACAACAGTCAGTGGTTGAGTTTATATTAAACCACACCGAGCAGATCTTTAGTGGTGATTCACTGCAAGTTAAACCCAAAGAAGGTATGCCAGTCAAAAAATACTTTCGCTGGACTAAAGGATTTGATGGTTATACACTGGAAATACAAACCAATCATATTTCAGCAGGACCAAGTTTGGTGTGTGGGGAGAAGTATGCCACACTCCCAATCAGCGGGCAGTGTGGGCCAATGAAGCTGGTGAGCCTAGAAGAAGCTCAGGCCCGTTCCCTAAGTCCCAACCATCCTGTCCATAAAGAACGGCAGCGAGAGAACAGCCTGCCCGACACCAGCACTGCCATGCTATATCACACTGTCATAGACATATCAGACAACAAGTAAGTCACAGTAGATTCAGTTGCTATGATTCTAATATGGGAACAGTACACATCAGAGTTTTTTTAATGTGTGATGATGACATTTTTATGTGTTACAAGGGAAGAGTGTTTTGCGACATATCATGGTGCTTTTGTAATCTCTCATTGTTTGTTAGGAGAAAGATTTCTGGGAAATCAAAGAAATGGAAGTCCATCTTCAACCTGGGCAGGTCTGTGGACTCAAAGGGAAAACTGAGCCGGAACGGTAGTGTGTTTGTAAGAGCGCAGGGTATGACCGGTGAGTTTTCCAGCCATGTGAAGAAAATGGCCTGCTTTTTGTGGTTTTCCCTTCTCCTTCATTGTCTTATGTGGTTTTGTGCATGTAAAGTTTACATAATTGCAAAAGAGAGCATTTTGGCACTACAACTCACTGAACTCCCACACAGTTTGCTAAGTTGAGTCCGTGGGACAGGAACAAGAAATAAGTACATTCCCTTTTACGAACAAGCTATTTACTTTTCAAAGAATTTTATCCTTTTTTATTTTTCTACATAGAAAGAATTAATGTCTTGTCTCTTTGTTTCTCAAAAAATTATCTGCTAAAAAAAAGGGAGAAAATCCCTTTTTTGTCATGAGAAAATGCTGGAAGATGATTTTGTAAGCTAAGAACCCAAAAAGGTTCAGAAGAACATAGTATGTCCTTATTACTATTAAATGATATAAGATTGATTCTTATCTCAATCAAAGCATAAAAATCTGTTTTCAATCACGAAGGCAAAAAAATGTCCTACTTTTGTAATGCCTTACACATCGTAGATTTATTGTCTATTTTCTCGGCAGAAAAGGCAGCTCTTCGTCCATCCAGGAGCATGGAATCCTTGTGCTCCTTACCAACAGGTGGGGCTAAACCTTTTATGTTTTTACTTTGCATGGTTTACAGGATTTACTTTGCTGTACTTATAAAAACATAAACTTCACCATTGCTTCCTAATGAAAAGATGCAGCTGCAGCTGTGATGAGATTGTTAATAGATATGAGCACTCCTGATGTTTTTTCTCTCTCACTTCTCTCGCTGACTCACTTTGTGCAGATGATGACAGAGCAGGAAGCAATAGTCCAACAGGTGGACCTGACAGTATTTTTATTCCGGATGTAAAATCCAGAACTCTGGGATCTGACTCGCTCTATGACCTGAGTGAACGTGAACAAAACTGGGAGTTTAAAGGGAAGATGCCTAGCAGTGCCACCGTTGGCTGGAGCTCCAGGATGAGCCATAAGGACTCACCAGGAGCTTCCGCACCACCTCAGAAAAACTTGCCAGAGCAACTCAAGGTGTTCAAAGGCGATGACCTAAACAGCTACAAGCCCACTTCTCCCAAAAACAGGAGGATGTTGTACTCAGGCTCTTCCCAAAGCAGTTCCTCTCGACCTTCATTCCCAGGAAGCTTCTTCCCACTGGAGTCTTCGCCGAGGCATCAGCGCAGAGCCGTTAACATATCTGAGCCTTTTGCTGTGTCTGTGCCTCTGCGCGTGTCAGCTGTTATCAGCTCCAACAGCACACCGTGCAGGGTGCACAGCAAAGACAAAGCACCAGCTCTGAAACCCTGCAAAGAGCCGTCAGAGCAGATGAGCAACATCAGGAAGAGCAACACTTTCCCTTTACTGGAACCAAAGAAGCAGGAAGGAGCAGCGAAGAAAAACACTGAGGTGCTGACCTGTACAGTATCACCACAGGGTAAGGAAATCTCTATCACATTACTTTTTTTCTGTCTAATCAAGATCACACAGTGCATCTGGATGGAAAGCATATCTTTTTATTTATTCAGATAAAAGCAAAAAAGTGATGCAAGAAAGTAAAGGAGGGAGAAATACTTCTGAACTGGAAGCACTGTCCCGTGCACATACAAGCCAAGTCAAAGAGGCAGCGCCATCTTCTGGGGAAGACCTGCACAACCAGCCCAAAGATGCACGACTGGTAAACTCCTGACTTCTACTTATATATATCTATATCTACACACAATTCAGCTATATCAATACTATGCATCAATTTTTTCAAATGCCCGATCAAACTAAATTAAAAAAACATATGCTTTTTAAGTTTAAATTCGGTGTATTCTGCATCTCTTTTATACTCGAGAAACCTTTTTGCTTGCAGTTTTGCCCTTCTATCGTATTGATTTTTACTGTGGCAGAATAATTGCCTCCTGTAATATTTTTTTTCAATTTTTATTTTACATCAAGACACTTGTGATTTAGAAATACAAAGGTAAATCATTTCTGTGTCATTTATTTCTTACTGTTTATATTGCTTTACCTTTCCTAATCTCACAGGATGATAAATCTGGGAAAAAGCTTTGGTCCCACCTTGACCAAGAATTGAAGATTACTGAGCCTGAAATGTGTCTGCTGGATGAGACCTTCAAACCAGTTTTCACCTCAATCAGCACTTGTGGGAGCACTAAGTTAACAATGGATGTTAAGTCCAAGCGAAGTCGCAGCTCTCCATCTTTATCTTTACTATGTCGGGAGCAATCTTCAAATACCTCTGAGAGCGAGCGCGCCAGCCGAGCTGACCCCAGAAAGAAACAGCCCTCAGAATCAGACCTTTTGTTTGATCACCATAAAGATTTTGACGTTATCTCTGGGGGACATACTGAAAATGTCCGCCCTAGTGAACTAGGGAATGATTCACCGAAGCCGCCAAAGCAAAAAACAGCCTCAAAGGACGCTGACCACCACTGCACCAAACAGGGCCAACTTCCTCTAAAGAAAAGCAGTTTGGATCTTCTTATAAGTCCTTTAACTATAGAGGATGTTCCACAGGTTGCAAGTTTCTCAGGTGCAGGTGGTGCACACAGAACATCTGAGAAATCTGAAATGTCTCTAAAGGATAAAGAAATCTCACAAAATAGAGCAAAGATGGAAGCTAATCTGAGACTTTCAGTTTATTTAGCGGAAAAACGCAACACTCTGGAGCTGTCACACCTTGACGATGAAGAGGGATATGGAGGAATTTCTGAGGAGCTGGACCTAGTGGAGCCCTGGGAGGATCTTAGCTCTAATAAGCAGTGGGTAACCAGCCCTCTCCACTCGCCTGATGTGGAGGAACTGTTTAACCAGCTCTCCCCCTTCAGTTCTAATGGAGAAACTCTGAGTTTAGCGGTAGGGAAGCTTTCTGCACCGTCGGTTGAGAAACGATCCTTTGTGAAGAGCCTTGAGCAACTCTCAGGAAACCTTCCTCAGCATGCCAACAGTAATCTGGAAACTAAATGGACGTACATGCCAAAAATAACTACACGATCAGGTTTGAACACTGGGAACTCGACACAATCTCAGACAGCCAAGTGCAGCGCAACCAAACAAAAGGGCACAGCTCAGAAATTTACCAGACAAACGTCTTATGAACCAGCTGTGTCAGAGAAAAGAGAGGAAAATCACTCTTCCAAACACCGGCCATATTCCCTCAACTTAGATCTGGGGCATCGGTGCATTAGAGATATTTCTAATCAGCAAAACTGTAAGTCAGAGTTGTCCTCTTGTCAGAGGGGATTTCTGTCTTCATCCGGTGCTATAAACAAAGGGCACTCTGAGCTGGACCTCTTTCTGAATGATCGGCAGGCACCTCTCCGGAGGAACTCTGCCCCAGTCAGCGTGTCATCAGTGCGGACAGCCTTCATGATAAAAACATGCCAAGCCAAAGCTGTTCCTGTCATCCCTCCAAAGGTGCAGTATAGTCAGATACCTCAATCCCGGCAGGAAAGTGATTTCAAGGCAGTGACGGATCAAGAAAAGGAGTGTACGAAAGCGAGCGCAGACACATGCAATGTCCCACCTCCCTCCACAACCTCAAATCTGAAGGAGGAGCTGGAGAATAAAGAGCCTGGCCTCAAATATCAAAAACATCCAAATGTTGAGAAATTATCTGACTCTGGGAAGACCGCATCCGCCCCAGTGGAATTGCCGGTCATAACCAGGAGACACCCCCCCAGTCTGGAAGTTTTCGTAGATGGTCCCAGACCCAACCGCGGAAACGTGCTACAGAGACCGTCCTTTAGGAATAGACAGAGACCCCAGAGTCTAATCCTGCTCAGCCCACCTTTCCCCATAATGGACTATCCACCGTCAGGGGACGATGGGAAGCTCCTCTCATCAATCAAGAGCTTGAACGACACCTCAGCGGTGAATGTCTTCTCTAAAGAGATTGCAGAGAATTTCAGGACGCCTGATGGAGTCGCTCTTCAAAGTAAAATGACGATTCCAAAAAGCGGGCAGAGACTGGAGACATCAACCAGCTGCTTTTACCAGCCTCAGAGGCGGTCCATGATATTTGAGAGCAGGAGCCACAGGCAGATTGAGTGACTGCACGTGGGCTCACTGACTGTGAGCCATGTAAATAGATGCAAAACCTTAAGAGACTCTGCAAACCGAGAAGAATGACTGATAACCTAAGTAGAGCTAATTTAAGTTTGTCAAATGCCTGGAAAAGAAAGCCATAATGTAAGTGAGACTGAAATTTTGTGGGGGTTTTTTAAGACATTTTTTGTATTGTATGTGAATTTATATCAAGTGTTCAGAAAGGGACTTCATGAAATGTTTTTGTATGTTTTTTGTAACTTGGCAACAGCTTATTGACTAAAAGAACAAAATCCTTCGAGCAGAACCGGGTAATCATAGGAAAAATGATTTTGTAGGAATTGTAGGCTGCTTCCACTCCCTCTCTGCTGTTTCAGATCTGTCTCTGTTGCCTCCGACTGCCTACATGTACAGGTCAGTAACTACTGCACACAAAGAGGCAGTGCTGAATGACACACCCTTTCCTAGTAAGACATGGCTCCTCATACATACTCAGGCTTGTCTATTGTGGGTACATCTGTGTACTAATCATCTCTGACGCAAACGTAACACATCCCATCATGAACGACACACACATGTGCAGGAAGCCAAGCTCAGCAGGTGAACTCTGTCGGGCAGTTTTTACCCATACACTCACAGGATGTCAAGGTGTTCTTTACTCCTCTCAAAATGAATAGTTTCACAGAGAAGTGCAATGAACTACAGAAACACATGGCTTTAATGCAGCTTCACATGGTGCCACAATGATAAACGGCTCATCCCACCCACAACACAGGAATGCTGTTTGCAATGGAAAGCAGAGCAGGGGGAAAAAAAAGTTAAGTCAAACCATACTTCGCAATGGAAAAGCAGCACTAAAAGACTGCTCATGTTAGAAATGCAAGAGGCAACAGTAACAGTACAACTGAGTTAAAAAGACTCCTGTGGTAATACAAATATACAGAAGATATATTTGATCTGTATTCAAGTAATAACTTCAAGTCAACTATTGATTCTGAGGGTAAAAGTAAGACAAGAAATACACACCTGGAGCACGGTTCTTAACCCCTGTGTGCTCTCTTGGGGTCGTTAATACCCCGTTTTCGCTAAATCTGATATGAGTGACCCTGGGAAGGCGGTCAGAAAAGTTATTTCTCACAAATAGTTTCATATGTAACCTTTTGCTACCAGTGGAAGAATGTTACTGATTATTCTTGGAGCGAGCTCACAGGGTGTACGCCATCCTCTGAGGGAGACTGATACGTGTAGTTACAATCTGTAAAAATGACCAAAGATTGAAATGTAATGATTAACCTTTAACCTTTTAGGTTTATGTAAGACGCGTGGGATGCACAGACGTGCGGCGGTTAATAGTTTCTCCTCACAGAGAGAGGCTCCTCTATTCTAACCCCAACTCGGCCTTTCTCTCATGTTCTCTGCAATTTCTGTAAACTAAGCTGAATGGCAGTTTTTTAAGTGTAGGTCTTTACTATATAAACAAGCTAGTTTGTAATGAAAACAAAAAATCATTTTGATATTTTATAAATTTTTAAAAGTAAAATATAGGATTGCTGCTCATGACACAATGTATGTGCATGCTGACTGTAGTCAATGATGCTTTGATTTGGAGTCAGACTGTCATGACCAGACTTTCTCTCTACGTTTCCTCCCTCTGTTCTCCTCTAATTACCTTTTCTGCTACTTTTGTGGGAGCACCTATGAAGATGACAGTTTCTGATGTTTAAATTTATTTATGAAGCCATGGATGGGATGGTGGTTTTATACTGTAGTTTGGATCAAAGGTTTGGGTGAGTGACGTTGATGGAAAACAATGTTTTTGTAACTTCTGTACACTTTGTCGATACTGAAATTGATTTAACTATATGGATTAAAAGAAAAACTCATGAACAAAAAGAAAACAGGCTGAGATAAGCGTTTTGCTGTAATTGTCAGATGACAGCGCTTAAAGTTTTGTTACATGTTATGAGAATAAAAAGAAAGTTAGAACATTTTCATTTGACTGGCAGATTAATTTCTTTCTAGCAAACTAAAGAGCTGGTGTTCAAAGGTCATGCTGTGGGATTCTGATGTCAACTTTCTGAGGACTGGCAGCAAAATAACTTCACAACAGGACGCAAAGACTAGAAACTTTAGCATTTGTAAATTAATCTTTACTCTTTTTTTATGCATGTTCCCTAAATAATTCAAACATTGAGAACTTGAATGTTAAATCTTTCAGTCACTTCCAGACTCTTTCCTCCAAAGTCTCTGTAGTCTTAAGTATACAAATAAGACTAATACAGAGTATATCCCATCAAATAAGCATGTAGATGTTTACTGTTATGTTTTATATGAAGGAAAATCGATAGTGTCTAAATTATACAATGGAATTGACTAATTCTTATTAAATTTACTAGAACATTAATTTTCGCAGCAGTCAAATCTTTGCTACAGGACTTTACCCTGGTAGAGACACTAATTTTCCAGGTCCATACCTGCTCGTACATGAATTGCTGCCATAACTGGAGTGTTGATTATAAACGTGTGACTGGATGTAAACATTTGTGTTTTTTCTTTAGTACAAAAACCTCTAAAATTCCCCCCTGGCCATCACAAAGCAACGTGCTGGAAGCAGTATGTTCGACTCTGGTGCTGCTGCCTGAATGAGGAGTATTAAAGGGGCCCCCCAAGATTGATGGGGCCCTTAATCGAATGTGATTCCAAACCCAGTTGCATGTGGTGTGGTTGTTTGGTCCTATCTGCCATAGTTTGCTTTAACAGAGACAGCACAGTGAGCGACAGTCTCTGTTTAAATGTCTTTTCATTCTTTTTCTAAACTATACAAAGCCTAGTCTCTCCCATGTTGATCAGATCAGATGTTTGCCAGCAGATGGCGCCCCTGCTCCACAGAGTAATTTAAAGCCAGCCACCAGATGCGGTAGGTAGAAACACAGACCTGATTTCAACAGTTAATAATGTACTTTACAAAAAAACGACCTTTGCTTAAACTGATGATTAAACACTGGTAAAAAAAAATCGATCAGGAGAAACAGACTGTATACCTGCTTTAAAAAAGCAGCGCCTCCATACTGTGCGTGTTTTAGGTTTGCGCATTTGTTTTTTGTGCGTCAAACAAATCAAATCGCACCTTCTCTTTTAGATTTATATCGTCAACAGTTGTGCTCCTGCAAGTCGTGATATAACTAAGCAACAGCTTGATTTAACCGACTTCCCCTTTTCACTCCACTTAGCATTAAATAACACGAGTGTGAAAGGAAAATACTGAATATTTCTGTCTTCACACTACCTGTTCAAGCTTGTCTAACCTTTAGATTTTACATTAAAGACAAGCAAATGAGTTTTCCACCGTTTTCATCACACCTCTCAGTGCGCAGCCATGGGCCTTTTGTTCCACGTCTTAAATAAGTCTAACACTCTTACCTACATTTGTTACATTTCACAACAGGTGAATCTATCAAACGTTTAAGCAAAATAAGTTTGATCCAAATTTCCTGTCTCAGACAGAGACAAGTCAAACTCGGAGGCACTCACTTTACCCCAGTGGTGACTCCGGCAAGGATCTCCTCCATGTCTGCACAGTTCATTATTTCTAGACCTTTGACACCGCCTGTGTATGGGCCGAGAATTAAAAAGGCGTATTCTCAGCACACTGAAAAAGGCAAGCAGGGCACGGTGCGCGCGTTGAATATTCAATTAGAGATGGGGGACTGAGGGAAAACGAAGCTGCGTGCCAGTCCTTCATCTTACGCTACTGATTAGCTGTTAAACAGATTATATACAGCTCAGTGAGTTCAAATGTTGCCGCAGAAAACAGCCGGAGTTCAAGGCAATGACGAGCTGCTTCCTTCCTCACAGCCCCTTCAACACACTTTGTCCCCAACAACAGCTCCATCATCAGACATGTCACTGTTTTTAAAACAACAGTCCTTTTAGTTCGGAAAAACCCCATTTGCAGGTACAGCTGGAAATATGAAATGTTAAAGAATAGCACTGCACATGGAATATTTAGGCTCATTCCCAAAGTTAGTGCAAATGTAAAACTTCTTGCAATTAAAAACAAAACACAAAAAACAGAAAACATAAAACACAATCAGACTAAATGGCAAAAAAACCCAACTTCAACCAAAACATACATAAAGAAATGCCCCGAAAAGAATCAATACAAGTTTTTACTCTTAAATCCGAGTTTTAAAAATAACATTTTTTTGTTTTGGAAGTAGTCTCCCATCTTTTAGCAATAAATCAGTACTCTCCATTCCCTGGAAGTTTGGAAGTGAGGCTCGCTTTTGTCCTTTTAAAGTGAATAAACAAACAAATTAGAAATGCATTTCCACGATTCAAAGTTTACAAATTGTCTTTAAGATATTTTTGTTTGACTTGTTAAGTTTTACTCGGCACTTTTATTAAGCTGGATAAGTTTAAACAAGTTCAATGTGCAGTGCCACAGCAAGCCACGCGGGTCTAAAAGAGCTCTCATTGAGAAGCCACGTGTCCGTTTCCAAAGCCTCTCCAACTTAACCACCTCCTTTGTACGACTAACCCACATCGGCAGCGTCCCTCCACATAAAGGGATTTGCAATTTCAAGATATTTCAGCTTAAATGTTTTTGACAGTTCCCTCGCTTTTACCTCGGCTTGGTTATTTTAACTGTGCCAAATGGGTCACCTTGGGTTGCTGTCTGCGCGCAAAGGGCTTTTGCGCGCATTCAGTCTGAATTTTTTCCAACTTTCCTTGACGGGGAAACCAGCTGCTGGTTGTGAAAAGACGGCTTATTAATTGTCCTTTGTCATGCAGAATTGCTTGATTTCTAAAGAAACTTACAAAGGCTCTTTTTCAGGATTCAAGTATTTTGTTTCGTGCGTATTTTCAAACCATCGAATCAGCTGCAGCGCCGCGCCGTCTACCAGACTCTCAGGTACTGACTGCCTGCTCCCTTTGTCCCCTTTTAATGCTGTTGTAAATCGTGCAGACTGATTTGTTACAAGCTGTTCTTTTAATCTGATAGATAAGAGACATGTCAAAGAAAAGCCGTAAATAAAAAATTAGCCGGAATAAAGACAAGGGCGAGTCTGCTAGATGGGCGCCTGTTGACTCAAGCGGCTCTCCAGCGTCAGGGGAGCCCTCTCCTCAGCTCCGTCAAGGTTACGTCCACAATTCCCTTTTCTTCTTTTTAAAAAGACACCGTAGTCCTTTTTGCTTCAATGAATTGATCGGCACAAAATTAAGAATAAATAAATTGAGTATTTGGAGCACCGAGCGTATAAGCTCCCCCAGGGCGCATACCCCCGGGCTATTGAATGGATAAAGGGCGCTTTGCAGAGGACGTTGTGAGCAAAATGGGGCTCTATGGTGCAATTAACAAAATAGTCTAATCCCATATCTTAACAAATGCAAATATTAGAGTTTTGTTAAAAATGTTTAAGTGAACAATTAAATGAAAGTTCACTGGTGAAACTTCCCATCCAAAAAGGCACACCAATCAGGATTATGTTCTCCTGACAATTTAGGAACAGATTTTTCTCTCTTTAAAAAAGTCTAGAGATGTGTTTATACCAAAGTATATATAATTCAAAGCCTGTTAAATTTAAGGAATACAATTTTGATGACCAAAGCTGCGGGCAAAGAGCTGCATTAGTGCTGCGTAAAATAGTCCCATGCACAAAAGTGAAGCTATACTACTAAGTTGGGTCTTTTGGGATATGCCACTTTGAACCAAAAACAAGTTTAAAACAGAACTGTTAAGAAACGTTTGGATACTCATTTTTGATAAATATTTCTAACATTAATAATGTTTTCGCTTTTTCCAGAAGCCCAACTTTTTGTTTGGTTATTGTGCGCATTGATAAGGTTGGCTCATCATTTAATTAAACTTTTATGGTTTTAATTATGTACAGTGAGAATATATGTCCAGTCAGAATAATAAATCAATATTCAACACTTTAAAAGCGAATTCTGAACCAGTTGAACCTGTTTTCTTAAGCACTATAAATACACCTGCAGCCCATAAAACCGCCAATAAACCGCATCACACAATGGGAACAATCTAGGTCATGGACACCAAACTGTGTCCTCTCCTAATTTATTTTCATGTTAGATTGATATCTTAAAATATGCACTGTCCTTATGCACTACAATGCACTCTTAGAGATTACTGACGCGGTCACACGAGACAGATCATTTCAGTGGGGCTGAAACTTGAAATAAGCTCCAAAGGGCCACGTATGGATACAACAGGGTTGAGTGGCCATCGGGGAAATCACATAAGGGGACCCCATCATAATACCCTTATAATTTTGATGTGATAAAGGTTATTAAGTATTCAATTTACTCCTTTAGTACATATAATCTCAATATGCACATCAGATATGCGGGTGCTTTGTTTAGTGGTTTGGCACGAGGTGGTCTGCGCGAAAATATGTAACAGTTAGTTTTTTTGGTCAGGTTTAAACATATTTTCTCTATGGTAATTTTAGCTTGATCGTATATAATAAAAATCATGATCTTTTTTCCCATCCTGACATTACGTTTTGCATTTTGATTCTTATTTCAACGTGCCACGACGCAATAACCTTTCAGTTTGAAGATAGAGTTTAAATATATTAAAAATTAAACAACTTACTGTTTTGATCATATACTGTCACACAGCACGTAATGATCAAAATATCTTCTCACATTTATTTTCTTTGTCAAATTTTTATAGTAGAATCACCGAAGTGAGTGCGTGCGTTCTGTGCGCATTTAATGGTGCGCAAAATCCACAACACCGAACTCATGCGACCACGTAGTACGGCTCAGAAATATCTTTTATTTAAGTATCAACATTTTTAAATAAATAAATATTTTTTCAATTACACTGAAGATATAATTTCAGAATAGTCTCAGCCATGTGACAGTGGAGGAATCTCTCCAGCTTGACATATTTTAAGAGACAGTCCCATCCACACAGCATGGTACTCATCACGTATAGTACAAAATACTATCTTCCCCAAAATACTTTTAAACATTGTTGCTATTCCTTTTGGCTTGTCTTCAAAACATGCTCACTTGATTAGCAACAACAACGGACTGTTTTCAGAAAAAAACTACATACAAAACGTACAACAGGTATACAGCTATACAATCATTCAGGGCAGCTCCCTGGTTAAATATGATCTGTCTATGTACAAACGACGAGGCCGAGAGAACAGTCTTCTTTTTTTCTTTCTTTCTTCCTTCTTTTGGCTGTTTTCAAAATCATGAAAAGCACAATCTTTCAGAGTTCAGTGCAGTTCACGGGGACACGGACAGGTCCACGTCCTCCTTTACGGACGAGGAGGGAGAGATGGGAATGTCGTCGTCTTCTTCCTCCGAGCATCTGGCGGCTGACAGGGACGAGCATTTGCAGTTATGTGATCCAGTCCGTGGGCCGCTGCTCTTGCCCTCCTTTTTGTGCTTCACTCTGCGATTCTGGAACCAGATTTTCACCTGCTTCTCAGACAAGTTCAGGTACGTCGCGATCTCGATTCGCCTCAGTCTGGAGAGGTACATGTTGGAGGTAAACTCTCTCTCCAGTTCCAAAAGTTGCGTGCTGGTGAAGGCGGTGCGCATGCGCTTGCTGCTCTGAAGTTTTCCGTTGCTGTTTTCTGGGGGGAAAACAACATCAACTGTCAGCAACCGCGATTTACGCAAGACAGAAATACAGACAGAAATAAAACACTCAAATGAAAATGCGAAACTCGGCTCGTACTCACCGATGGAGATGCAGTGGAACTGGCGGGGGTCTGGAACCGAATAGGCGGCTTGGTATATCCCCGGTCCGTGGCTGAGGTTGACGCTGTTGGATGAGGAGTGCTGCCTGGACAGCGCGGAGTGGCAGTACTGCGAGCTGAAGGGGGGGAACGAGGCCTTGAGCAGCGGCAGCGCGGGCGGGGACGGGTGGAGCTGGGACGCGGCCATGCACAGCGGGCAGAAGCACAGCAGCCCGGCCTTCCGGGAGTGGCAGGAGCCCGGCAGCCCGTGCGGGTGGTGCGGCGTGTGCACCGCGTACGGAAATAGAGGCGTGCTGCTCTCATTCCCTTTATCGTTGGCCTCCCTCAAAATCAAGGAATCCACGAGAAAAGACCTCGGCATGGCTGCAAACCTGTTGCTGAGCGCGGGGGGAAAGTTTGAGCCGCAGTGAGTGGGTCGTGGCGTCGGTGCGTCAGTGTGCGCTCCTCTGGTCGGTGGACAGCGAAGTGGTGCTGAACGCGCACTGCCTCTCCTTAAATAGCCGCCGCGGACTCGGTCCGGCCATGTGACGGTTACGCTGCAAGCGGCCAAGAGCTCTCAATAGGGTTTTGTGCCTTTCTCTCGGCATTCCCACTGCACGCTTCCCCATTATTTCACTTGTTAACTAAATGAACTGCATAATGTAGTCTATTCTTGTCAGCCCCACCCACGCCGCAAGAGGCGGCACTGCCCATTCTCCCTTTTATCATCACTCTCATTTTATCATAGAGAAGAGCTTAAATTTGCGAGAGAAAACGTTTCTATCCGAGTCTGAAAAGCCTATGCTTCGTCAAGTTTCACCTTATATATATATATGTGTGAATGAGTGGTCTTCATTTTCAAGGAAGGTGTTCTGGGCAAATGGCACAACTTTTAACAACTGATGAGTAACAGTGATTTCATGTCAGTCTTCCCAAAACCGAAAAAGTGTTTGTCTGTGAGTGGTTAAATCATCCTTACATCTAACACCAGCGACAAGCATTTATGAGCACATACTGTCTTTTTTATGCATTAAGTGCATGAGGTTAATTATTTTTGCACTTTTGTGGCTTCTTCATTGACGGTGCTGTCCCCAAACAAACGCTACAGCTGAATGTAAAGTTTGTGCATATCCATTTTGGGGTTAATGTGTCATTTCTGGGCACAAATAAAAGGGACAAGTCATTGCCCGAAGGCAGTGCTGTTAAAGAGCAGTGATTAATTCCTTTGCTCGGGCCCCTGCCGAGTCGGGGGAAAGAATATGTAAAAATAACCAGGTTTTCACTCAGCGGCCCTTATTGAATGTCATTGTGGAGGGTTTTCAATGAGAGAGAAAGAGAGTCGAATTAAAGTGTGTGACAGCGGCGGATAGGCGCAACAAAGGCGACTCTGTCATAGAGGAGCCCTGCGCGCTGCGCTTCAAGCCCCCGCCTCGCGCTCTGATTGAATTAAGTAATAGGAAAACATTTTCTTTCACTTTAGAGCTTTCTGAACAAGACCTTCAAAGGGACCGGAGCCATAATATGTGAGTAAATAGTGGAATGCGATTTATTTAGTGCACCAGAGCTTCCTCTTGCATGAGCAGGCTCATCCTTGGTAATATGACCATAAAGATACTAAGTTGTGCCAAACTCGGGACGTAATGTGAATTCAAGACCACAAGAAGTTTGGTCTCTGCTTGTTTTCTCTGTGCTCGTTCGCCGTTGACAGAAAGACGCATCGAATCTACTTTTCAAATGGATTAAGATTGATGATTTGAACTGTATTTTCACTCCCAGGAACCCCAAATAACAGCGCGATACGATCGGTTTGCTCCGCATGAAAGAGGCTTAATGTTCAGAGCTTCACACTACTAATCTTGTAATTAAGCTTCGCCCTTAAAGTAGGGACAGATAATGAGCTGTTAAGCCCGTTAACGAGATCCAATCATCAGGACAAAAACCTGTTGTGTCCTGAAGAGCCGTGTTCATTTTACTGTTTGCCATTTTCGTAAGGATGGTCATTAACTAATTTGTTCATTACAGTTTTATTCTTATTTTCAATCAAGGCAATAAGTAAGTAAGTTAAATCCACGTTTTCATCCAGTATGAGGCGCACTCACTCGGTAGGTGTTCATGCGCTAAAGGTCAAACTAAAATGGGCAACATCTGTAATAAACGCTTCAGATTTGGAAATATCCTTTTCTAGCGGCAGGTATTCTATGCGTGGGGGCAGAATGCTGCCCGTTGCTCAACATAAAGATGTTATCAAAGGCCCTAATTTTCAAATTATGTACAGCAGTCCTCCCGTGGATAGGAATAGAGGTTTCATGGGTCGTCACGCAGGGAGGCTCATCCTAATTTGCAATCCCAAATGGAGACTGACAAATAGTTTTGACCTCCCTCTGGAGGCGCGGGCCAGAAGTGCAAAGAATCTCATTCTCCATAATCACTTGTTACTGAGATAAATAATCGAGGAAAATGGCTCTCTCACACCATAATAAGGCAGTTACATTTCTGCACAAGCCCCAAGCTGAAAAAATAAATATACATCTATAGCCACTTATGATAGTGTGTCATCACATCCATCTTTTTTGGTTTGTTTAGTCTTTTTTTTTTTTTTTTTTGTATTTTGTCAGTTAGCATGAAACCAGCCTAATTGAGCATAGCTCCGTGTGTTCAGCATACAGCTGTGGGCTGGTAAAGCTTCTTAACATCAATGTTAGATAGTGGGGGAAGCAATGCCCCTGAAATAGTAAATTATTTATAAGATATTAAGCTGGAACAATTGCCATCACTCAAATTCAACCCTGATGATAACACTGACCAGTGCCTGCTGTGCCGTTGGTGAAGCACATTTTCAGGGGGCTTTTACGCAATTATACCCAAAGATCTCGTGCCTGATGACATAAAAAGAACAGTCTGTTTATGGAGATGTAGTCAATATCTCCTTTTCTTTTTGATATGAATAATTCATAGTTTAAGACACTATCCCCCCTCGCTTAATATGTACACACACTTAAACACCCACACATCTCTAATACAAATGATGGTTTTAGCTGACAGTGTAACAGGATTTAAGGTCCCAGTGGGGCTTGGCCCTGCCGCGGATGGGCGCTGTGACTGTCGACGTGACACAGAGGGCCGGCTGCCCCTCCTAATCTGCCCCTGAGGCAACATCACAGACTGCCGGTCCCGCTGCACCTCCACGGACACACAAAGGCCTGATTATCATTCATATGCTCACCAGAAACACCAGTCCAATAGATAACAGATGACACATAAGTACCAGCTGAATGGTGCAATATGTTTAGGCTGCTGGAGTCTATAGGGACTAATGAATCCTTAAGAGAGAGGGAGCCGGACAAAGAGATGCTGTCAGTTAAAAGAGTAGAAAGTGACAGATATAAGGCTCCACAGGTGAATTTGAACTTGACTGAACAAAACACAGCAATTGTTCAGGCATATGCTTTCTTTTACCAAGCTGAATGTTAACCGATAAGAACTGAAGCATGGAGATTTGATTATTTTCTGCTTTCATTGAGGAGATGGTATCTCATCACTTAAAGATGGCATTGATGTGTAAGTGACACTCCAGAAGCCTCACAATTAAATTAATGTCATATAATTGCTGTTCTCAGCACAGAAGCAACAAAACTTGGATTTTCGCAAAGTCAAAAGTGGCTGGATATGTTTCAGAGCACGCTTTTTTAGGCGTTCGTTTGTTAATATTGTTTGTGTTTTTGCTTTGTTTTTATTTATGAGAAAAAATATGTTTTTTGTCAATGTTTGATGCTTAGCATCTTGCACATAGTTAAATCTTCTTTTAACAGTGATACATATTTTTTTCAAAAGAAAAAACTCGTCAATAAGCATTTTCCCAGTTTACCTGTCACACCATTAGTAATAAGCATCCAAACATGATTGAACAGTTGAACGCAATCATGTTAATTAGTCAAAGTGTTATCTGGTAAATGATCATTTTTTCTGTTCAAAAATAGAACTGAAACCAAAATCAGAGGGGTGTTGAAAAGCATGTTGATAGCATTTTGGTCGGGACTTTGTTCATTTTCTGGTCACGTAGTTCTGCTTAGCATGCTCTTCACAGGCAAAAAAAAAGGAAAAAAGTCCACTTAATCTGAATGTGAATGTGTGGTAATTAAAGGGCAACATATCTGCCTGTTCAGTTTAAATGTAATTAATTAATAGATGCTCATCTATTTCTTGAGATCAAAGCCACAAACTTGAAGTTATATCTGTATACCTTTTTTTTTAATACCTGTGCAGATGTTGTTTCAGCCAGATTCAGGTTTATCTAAAGTATAAGAATGATGTTAGCCACCATATCTCTAAATGCTGTATAATAATAATTAAGGTAACAGTAATAGAGGTCTTTGAACAGGGGGTTGCATATTTCCATGAGCTTGTGATTGTCTTCCTACCTTTTGCTAATATTCTTTATTCAAGTAAAGTCTGAAAAGAAGCCAGGTCAGGTTCATGGTGATCATGGTAGATTTAAACTCAGCTAAAAATATATATCTTCTTCTACTATGATCAAGTAATTCATTACTGACAATCATCAGGCTTATTTTAATATAATTTACACATTTTTAGTATTTGTGTGTGCCAGAGCAATCAAATTGTTCCTTGCTCCCGTTTTTAGTCACATGTCATGCTTTACACATTCTGATTTCCACAGAGACCCCTTGTGCAATATCTGGACAAACCCCTTTTTTGTTAGTGTTAAAATCTTTTAATACTACCGGATTTCTGCAACTACAGTATATCTCAGTTGATTTTTAATTTGCTCTGATCACCCCAAATCCTTACGTCCATCAAACTAAATGTTTTTTATACCGACTTCCTTCTTTTCAGTGTAGTGGGCAAAAGGCAGAGTACAGTCTGGGCAGGCTGCCAGTCAGTTACAGGCCCAAAACGGACACAAATAATCATGCACGCTTCGATTCTTTTATTTCTTTGTGAATTATTATCAGTTCATCATCATATCACCAGGCTGTCGGTTTCACTGGCAACTCTTTTCTACACAGGGCCATGAGAAACACTCACAAGCTAGAAATTGATTTTCAAGTTTTTGTTTTATACCTTTTGAAAGTTTTACTTTGAAGCCTACTGAAATTGGTATTTTAAGTGTTTTTTTTGTGTTTTTTTTACTGGAAAATACTCGTATAAACAACTATACTGGGTTCAGATTTCTTCCAAAACAAACATGACAACCAAAAATCAGATGAAAAGGATAGAGTGATGTAACTTAGGTATTGAAAAAGTCTGATTTATTCAGTAGTGAAAGATGGCAAGTCTGATTTGCAAATGTAGGCCTCAGTCTACTGTGTAGAGTCTCTCTGTTGTGGTTGAGTCCAGGTCAAGTGCCGTTGCTAGGTGTATCCTCACAGCTATGCATGTCTCTTCACTGCTGGCAGCACAGACTGTCTCAACACAGATTAACATGCTCCATAATACGGGAAAAAAGCCAAAAACAGCAGACACCAGTAGCGGAAATGTGCTGGAAAGTAATGGTCATGAGATAATAAACTGAAATCAACACAGACTCTCACAGTCTTGTATGAGGTTTTCACT